CACAAAATTATATTGAGTGTGGTTTAAGGGCATATTTCATATACAATATCCATATTCAAAAATTGTCTACATGAACTGGAAAACATGGAATGTGCAATTTTGTAATTTCAGATTATATTAATGAGAGAACAGACAAGACACTTATCACTGTGGTTGTGTGTTGATTTACAGCCAGAACCTTTTGATGCTAAAACACATTTAGAAAATCATCCGCAGTGTCTGTATATAACGTAGACATCAAGATCTTTTAGAGACTTTAGTGACTTTAAATGGAGAAAAGCAATTTCATAAAACGCAGCCAAGAAAGGCTAAACTCTCGTAATGTGCAGCAGCGGAAAAGTAACATTATCAGTGTTTAAACCATTTCTATTTCCTGACAGGCATAAGCCGTAGAAAGTCCAGCAGTCCGTTAACTCGGATATGTAAACGTCTTCCTTCAGTAGACAGGAATGGGGATTTTATCTAAATTACTTTCTATGACATGCTGTTATTATTTGAACAATCTTTCTTTTCCTTTAGGTTATTTTATTAGATAATTTGGTGTTTTCAACAAAACAATAGAGTTTATATTCTTTCTGCATCAACTGCGGACAGCTTTATTGTCCATATTTGGGCGTGTCCCATTAATATCACAGATCATTGGTCCGTGTCGGAGTCTGGCAGTCTAAGGAAATGGCCAACCCCTGTCTTGGGCTGATAATTTGGTGGGATTTTCGTGTTCATTGAGTCACTACTGGTCTATCTACCATATATCTCTATACATATTTATCAATAACCCAACAGAATACAAATGTCCCTATTTGGCAGAATAATTGAAATTTACCACCCTATTACTATAGGATGATGTATTATATGGTGTGGAACTCTGTCATGGAGAATTCTCTATCTGATAATCCTCAGACTGTGAGTCTGTGCCTGGTCATACCTAACCTTGATACGGCCTTATCGGCTCCATACTGCTCATTTCTACACAAACAGGAATCGGCCAAGCACAGTTTGAACCTGATTGTTACAGGTCAAGTTCTCAAACTTGCTTGATTCCATCGGACAAGGTTCAGGATAGGTCAATGGGTTTTATGCACTCAATGATATGACTACTGCTTGGTCAATCTCAAATTCTTTTTAAGTATGTATCTTCCTACCTTTTGTTTTATTAGCAATTTACCTATTCTTTGCCTGGGAACTTTGAGTTTGTCTTTAAGTTTTTTTTCTATTATTTTTATCTTCAAATCACACAAAAAAGTGTCTCTGTTTTTGACTGCATCTATCCAAGCTCATTTGTGACATTTCTTTTAACATTGAAAGAAAATGGTTGATGATGTGCTTGTGCATGTAACATGATATAATATCTACTTATTTGGCTGCATATTTATATAACTTTAGATGCAAAGTCTCACTGAGCTTGAATGCTTATCATGTAGGACCTTGATTGCTTATGATGTAGCAAGGCTGTCTGTCAGCTTGGCAGATATCTCTGGATTCCTGTATAAAATAGTACAAGGATACCTATGAGCTTGAAAAATGTCTCTTTGTGAACCTGATCTTCTGACCTTGTTTGATTATAATTTTGACGTAAATGTCTCTTTGTGAACCTGATCCTCTGCCCTTGTTTGATTATAATTTTAACGTAAATGTCTCTTTGTGAACCTGATCCTCTGACCTTGTTTGATTATAATTTTAACGTAAATGACTCTTTGTGAACCTGATCCTCTGCCCTTGTTTGATTATAATTTTAACGTAAATGTCTCTTTGTGAACCTGATCCTTCTGACCTTGTTTGATTATAATTTTATAAATGTCTCTTTGTTGATCCTCTGCCCTTGTTTGATTATAATTTTGACGTAAATGTCTCTTTGTGAACCTGATCCTCTGCCCTTGTTTGATTATAATTTTGACGTAAATGTCTCTTTGTGAACCCAATCTTTCTGACCTTGTTTGATTATAATTTTAACGTAAATGTCTCTTTGTGAACCTGATCCTCTGCCCTTGTTTGATTATAATTTTAACGTAAATGTCTCTTTGTGAACCTGATCCTTCTGACCTTGTTTGATTATAATTTTAACGTAAATGTCTCTTTGTGAACCTGATCCTCTGCCCTTGTTTGATTATAATTTTGACGTAAATGTCTCTTTGTGAACCTGATCCTTCTGCCCTTGTTTGATTATAATTTTAACGTAAATGTCTCTTTGTGAACCTGATCCTTCTGACCTTGTTTGATTATAATTTTGACGTAAATGTCTCTTTGTGAACCTGATCCTCTGCCCTTGTTTGATTATAATTTTAACGTAAATGTCTCTTTGTGAACCTGATCCTCTGCCCTTGTTTGATTATAATTTTAACGTAAATGTCTCTTTGTGAACCTGATCCTTCTGACCTTGTTTGATTATAATTTTAACGTAAATGTCTCTTTGTGAACCTGATCCTCTGCCCTTGTTTGATTATAATTTTAACGTAAATGTCTCTTTGTGAACCTGATCCTTCTGACCTTGTTTGATTATAATTTTAACGTAAATGTCTCTTTGTGAACCTGATCCTCTGCCCTTGTTTGATTATAATTTTGACGTAAATGTCTCTTTGTGAACCTGATCCTCTGCCCTTGTTTGATTATAATTTTGACGTAAATGTCTCTTTGTGAACCCAATCTTTCTGACCTTGTTTGATTATAATTTTAACGTAAATGTCTCTTTGTGAACCTGATCCTTCTGACCTTGTTTGATTATAATTTTGACGTAAATGTCTCTTTGTGAACCTGATCCTCTGCCCTTGTTTGATTATAATTTTGACGTAAATGTCTCTTTGTGAACCCAATCTTTCTGACCTTGTTTGAACGTAAATGTCTCTTTGTGAACCTGATCCTCTGACCTTGTTTGATTATAATTTTGATGTTGTCCAGAGATAGACTGTACCTGTGGAAGAAAGAGAGGATCACTAATGTTTGAGCTGATGAATATTTATTATTTTGATAATGAATATTCATTAAAGTGGCTCAGACATGGTGACAGACTAATACATCTATTGTGAACCTTTGTCTCATTACCCTGGTACAACAGATACTGCCAAATTGCAGAAACTCTACTTCAACGCATGTTCTTCTATTCCTCCAGTCTAGTTTGATTTAATGGTTGTGAAGTGATTAATTTAACTTCCAGTTTCATCGCAGTGACTTTGTAATGCTAGAGAAGTCTGATAACACTTAGGTGCAGACAATTCTATCGTCATGGTAATAAGAACTGGTAAGATATTGAAATTTTATCGGGTTATTTATTGCAGTAGGCTATCTTGGTGTTTTATATGAACATTTCCGCCCCCTGCGTATGTACATGCGCCAATGCACTGTTGTTGAGTGTGAATCTACTATTGCCTCATATTCAAGGATAGATATCAACTGCCATTGATTTTTGCCGGTTATAAATTTGAATGGCTAAAACCCAGACATTCAATATTGAATGATTTTTGTGTTAGATTGAAAAAAAAAAAAGAAAAATGAAATAGACAACAGTAGGAAGTGTTGAAACTCCCCTAGCTATTGTTGTTTAATTTTTCGTTGCCTTAATCAAATGAAAGAAAGGCACTTTCAAATTTCATTTTCATTTGTCATTTCCTGAACCATATGAAAGAAAGGCACTTTCAAATTTCATTTTCATTTGTCATTTCCTGAACCATATGAAAGAAAGGCACTTTCAAATTTCATTTTCATTTGTCATTTCCTGAACCATATGAAAGAAAGGCACTTTCAAATTTCATTTTCATTTGTCATTTCCTGAACCATATGAAAGAAAGGCACTTTCAAATTTCATTTTCATTTGTCATTTCCTGAACCATATGAAAGAAAGACACTTTCAAATTTCATTTTCATTTGTCATTTCCTGAACCATATGAAAGAAAGGCACTTTCAAATTTCATTTTCATTTTTCATATCCTGAACCATATGAAAGAAAGGCACTTTCAAATTTCATTTTCATTTCCAGAATCAAATGAAAGAAAGACACTTTCAAATTTCATTTGTCATTTCCTGAACCATATGAAAGAAAGGCACTTTCAAATTTCATTTTCATTTCCAGAATCAAATGAAAGAAAGGCAGTTTCAAATTTCAATTTCATTTTTTATTTGTTTATGATTTATTTATTTAGATAAAAACATATTTTGCTGCAATTTAATTATGAAAAATCTCCTATATCTCTCAAAGAAATATCATTTGACATACTTGATCTTATTCTATAGGATTGCAGGAACATGAGTCAATGTAATTTCTTCATCTTTCTTTACATTACATATCTAAAACAACAACAATAAATAAAGGCATGCAGACAGTATTAAGACATGTGCTTCATCAATTTCACATATTTGTCAAAGTAAATGACAGATATTTCAGGAACTATGGAATGTTGAATACTAGTTGTACCAGTCCATCCATCACCACAGGTCTGTTGGGATTCGAGTATTTCTGTGTTTTTGGGAAATGGCCATCTTTTTGGTCAGTTGGGATATCAAAAAGCAACCTGTGCTATGAATTGGCTGTAAAGTTTGGTTAGTTCAATGAAATGTCAAGGTTTGAGTGACAGAGAGCTTTCATTGCAATGCAATGGAATTACTGTATAGGAGATCTTTATAAAATGAATGTGTGGACTCTTTGTATAACAAGTAGACTGGTGTTCAAAACACACAAGAGTTTTATTATTCTTCAATTTATAGCCTGAGTTCAATTTTTGCTGCAGAATCATGATTCTTTCATATATATGATTACTTTATCAACACATTGATATTTATGATGTCATTTGATAAAAGTCTGTCATTTCATTACTTATGTTGATATATGTTTTTTGTGCTGCTTTACATTTTTTTATTCCACTTTTTGACGTGCCGTTCTCAATGCCCTGTTGTTGTTGTTGTTTTGAATTAATGAAAAGTAGTTTTGAATTTTGAAAATTTTATAGATAGCATTTTGTTTTTTTTTTTTATATATATATATTGGTTATATTTTTATTTTTTCTATCTTTCAGCAACAGCACCCATGTTGCCTCCATGTCTACCCAACCCCCCTCCACCCCCACCTATAGAAGACATTCCACAGAGGACACCAGTGTGTGTGGCTCGCCAGAGGTCATTCGGTCCATCACACAGGGGAAACTACTCTGATGCTGAAACGTGTTTGTGTAGTAGACATTATGCAGAGTCGCATATAGCGGCCTTGCAACACAGGGGACATTACTCTGACCCGGACAACCCCACACGGGTACGGCAGTGTGCATATTCAGAAGGAGAAAGTGATTTTGAGCCACATTACTTAGAACAAACTGCATCAGGGAATGTATTTATACCAGGTAAGGACTGCTTTTCGTTAATCTCTCACTTTCTAGTATTATTACGGTAAACCTAAACTATGTATCAGTGTAGAAAAAGAAGGGATTATGGTATGGGTGAAGTTCTGACCCTGTATTGTTATATTATATCTACACTACATACATAAGAACATTTACTGCTGTGAATTAGTGGTGACAGACTTTGGTAAATATGATTGGAGCCTTTTAAGTGTTGATATACTAGGGTATTTATGGTAAGTCTTTTTACACCAGAGACTTAGTGGGAGAACCAGATGGCTAGGAGAAGTCACCCGCTCTATCCACATCCACACACCATGGCCTGTGTGCCGACTGTCATGGTAACATTGAGAGAGGTGAAGATGAATGCTCTAATCAGTGGTGGAGATTTCTCTGGATTTCTCTCTATTCTGCCAATGAGAAGCTTGATGTGCGATATTGGCTTCTATTATCACTCTCTGTACCAAATAAAGTGAATTATTCTGCAAACATTGATTTATGCAGTGATATGAATTTGATAATCATTTCTTTTTGCCATAAATTTCTTGGCTACTCCATGAAGATTAGAAGACAATTGTTTCTGATCGTTTCCCGTTACACTGTTTTGGCTGTGTCATCAATACACTGCTCAATGTCTGTATTATCGCTCGGAGCTATTGTCACCCAAGTATTACTAACATTTTTCTATCAGCAACTCTACTTGGCAATTAGTACAAGTATTTTTACACAGTGTATGACACGATAGAACCACAACAGTTACAGGTTGATTGCTGTAATTTCCTGGGGTAGCTAGAGAGGTCTCTGATTGGCTGTCGATTACTATTTCATACAAGGTGGCATGAACAATTAGGCAATAAATTGTTCTACTTCTTTGGTAGTGAGGACATTTTTTGATTGAGGAAAATTTATTTAACAATTGTTTATGAAAACTTAGGGAAGTCATAAAGCACAGTTTAGGTCTTTGTTCTGTCTTCAATCATGTTTAATTTGTGTGTTTGAAAGTGATATTTTACCGTTATCTGTAGCCAAACTCCCCCCTGCCATCTGCGACATTATGCAGAGGTACAGTTGAACATTTGCATATCGAAAAACTTGAGTTTGTAGCACAATCAAATCTGAGATAGGGGTAATTTATGTGTCATATCTTAATTATTCTACCACATGAATTACGGTGTGTTTTAGAAATTCATTCACTAATGAACATTGAACATAATTAAATGTTCTCAATAAATTACATAAATTGAATTTCAAGAATTTGTATGATTAAGTCTTGCTCATGGTTTCTTTCTTTTTTTAAGGAAATTACATTGAAATTTCTTCTTATAAATTTATCCTCTAGCACATGGCAACTGCTTTCAAGACAATAGTCGAAAAAATCTTTCTATTTTATTGTTTTTTTTTCTTTAGGTGTAGTGGAGGGTTGATCTAAATGAAATTATCCACATTGAGCTTCTTTTTTCATACTTAAATTAATTTTTTTTTAGATCTTGGGTATCCTTATCATAAGAAATAAAAAAAATAATGAGAATGGTTATGAAAAGAATGTTGAATAAAATCTTTTCCTATTGTCAAGCTCTGTTATAAACATTGATAATATGTGAAAAAAAGGGAAATGAAATGTGGGAATATGTAAGTAAAGTTTATCTTGTATCTAAGCCAGCAGTGTTTTGTATTACTTACCCATGGTAGGAGACACATTTAAATCTGCTTCGTCGCCATCAAGATCAACTCTGGCTATCATCTTAAAATCTATACCCGGCTGTCACATGACAATCTTGCACACGCTGGGACTTTGACATTAGGGATGGATTACATGTATATTATTTATTATATTTTAGGGATATTAAATCTTACGTACGTAATTGGAGACATGAATCAATTAAAGATTTTCTTTTTTCCACCAAAGGATTCCAGCTGTTTTTGTTTGTATATGTAATTGATCAGTAATATTTTCAGATTTCTAACTAGGTTTCTTATGTGTTTTGTTTCTTTTCTGTCAGAACTTTTTATATCTATATATTTCTATCCTTTGAATGTTCCTGGTAAACGTACTTGTTTCACACTGTGAGAGTGAAGCCGTTACACTGAAACATCTTGAATCAGTCGGTATGATGTAAATGCGATATCTGTTTATGTGCCGAATAATTGGTATAGTGCTCTCCTAATCATTCAAACTAAGCTAGTCACTATTGCCATGTGTGGCACAATCTCTCTTCTGGCCTTTGTGAAGTGGGGTAAAAAATATAGATAAAAAAGTGTGTTTTCCAAGTATTGGCAGATGACTTTGTTCTGATAGTGTTGTGTAGTCGCTGTTGTTTGTGAAATGTAGAAGTCTGCCTGTTGCTTGCAATCAAGCTGTGCCAAAATTTGGCCATTGTTAATAAGACCAGATTGGCTCAACGGCTGTTTAATGGCAAGATTTACTTCACTTGCATGTAATTTTCATCATGGCCTCCGGAAATCCTAAAGGTGAAAACGAACCACTTTGCAATCATTTCACCTCTTTGAACGTACAAAAGGTGCTTCTGAACTGTGTACTAAACATCAGGTGGCATGAGTTAGCACTAGGGATCCTGTTTTAAAGCAGGCCTCTTTTGATGCTAGAACTACACAAAAACTTCCCAAGATTTTACATGGATTTTTCACATCGCGAGGATTTCCTGAAAGAGCAATATATAAATAAAGTCAATAGGTTCTGAAGATCCAAAATGAGGGTGTGTTTTTTTTTAACTATAAACTTTATTAATTTTACAACAATTGCAAACAAGCTAAGAGCTTATATTAATCACTCTTGTTGGCCTGAATGGAAGTGTACAAGGGTGGTAATAGAACCCATGGATAACCTGTAGTCGGGCAGGTGATCTTGCACCTTTTTACATTCTTTCGATAAATCATGAGTACATAATTAAATAATTCTGTTTATGGAACTTTAATTGATAAAATATTGTGAACTTTCTACCTGCCTTCTCTGTTCTTATAGTTTCATTCACTGAAACCCATTAATGTAGATTTTGTCGCGGTATATTGTATGTTATCGGTGATAGGCAGGGTTAATTGGTATGTACTTTATATCTACATGTCAGCACAAATGAGGCGGAAAGAATTCTCATTAAAGAACCAAATAGTTACATCATCATTGACAGAACACATCATCCAAACAAATCAGAAAATACACAGTCTTTTATCACCTCTTAAGTTTCAGATTTTCATCCAATGAATTAATTTTTCTTCATCACAAAAATTTTTCATTCAATGACTCAGTGTCAGAATTTGTTTTGCAGTAAGTCAACTGTGATATGAAATTCTCTGTCGAGAAAGATTTTTTTTTTTTTACAGTAAGCCTACTGGGATATAAAATTTTGTGTCTGAGAAAGATTTTTTTTTTTTTTTTACAGTAAGCCTACTGGGATATAAAATTTTGTGTCTGAGAAAGATTTTTTTTACAGTAAGCCTACTGGGATATATGATCCTGTCTGAGAAAGATTTTGTTACAGTAAGCTGACTGGGATATAAGATTCCCTGTCCTAGAATCAACTACTGAGGGATTCTACGCAGTATTTGATGTTTTAACAATACTGCATTTTCTGTGGATGAATCAAGGACAGCTTTATAAAAACTGACTTGTGCACATTTTTAAGTTATGTTGATATCTTGTTCCTCCACTTTTCACATATCAAATCCTTTATTTACAGATGGCCATCCCAGATTCCCTAGAACAGTGCCAAGGTCGGGGTCAGTGCCAATGTCAAGGTCAGGCGAGATGGTAGATCCACAGACAGTGTGGGTACCACCAGGTTCAAATACAGTTCCGGCCCACTTTTCTAATGGAGATAATCAAAATATGAACCATTTAGACAATAGGTAAGTTTGATATACTGGTTTGTGTGTAATGATTGATTATCATAATACATTTACTGATGGGATAGCAAGTAAATTGATATGTGATGACTGAAAAGATGTTAAGATTTGTCTGTCCAGTACATAATTTCTCAAAAAAACAACATAAATCCAGATAATGTGTGATTTTTTTTATATTAATCCTTCTAAAGGCAACATGTCTGAAGGCACAGTGTATTAGATGTTTCCAGGCAGTGTATTACAGATGTTTCCAGGCAGTGTCCGAATAACATTATGTCCTTGAATGACCATGGATGTTAACAGGAAACTAATTAAGATACACCTGATGTTTGGAACCAGTGTCCGAATAACATCTTGTCCTTAAATGACCATGGGTGTTTATAGGAGACCAAATGGAATGGCAATTGTATTCAACAACTTCACAGATCTGCCAAGACTTATCCAGACTTCAGGACAATTTTTGTAATATGTGTAATCAAATTTACTGTAGCCTACCCATGTAAGACTGATAGCTATAGTAATTACCTACCACAAAAAAATCTAGTGAGTTTGAAATATTTATTTGAATATCGTTAAACCCATGCCTTGATTCTTTGAACAAATTTATCAACTCTACAAGCTGCAGACCGAGATTTATCAATCCCTGGTACGAAAAAAAGTCGTTGATATCATTTCTGTGAGGTCCTGAAGATGATTAATTACTGCACTGTTAGAGAACATTGCTATCTACTCAGAAGTCTGCAAATCTATATCAATAAACAATGCTATACCTGTCAGTTGTCCGGCATCTGGACAGGTAACTTTGTGTTATCAGAATAACTAATTAACAGGTATGTCAATAATAAAACAGATATCACAGTGAGTCCCCTGGTCATCCACTTGTCTTTACACAGGCTTGTGGGAGGTGAATTTTCTGATGAATTTGATTGGTCAATTGATTTTTACGCTCAAACCACAATTATTACTTGGAGTGACCCCTAAACATGATGGATTAGCTGTGTTGGAGATTGTTTCATTCCTAGAATTTTTAAATGTCCAGACTTAACTAAAAATACGTTTCTAGTTGATTGATGATATAAGGGGCCATTATCAGGCTAATGGATGATAAAGTGAAGGCACCACAGATGTGGATCTCACGTGATCATCAGGTCTTTCCTGACTCAACACCATAGGTATAAAAACTCTACCATCATAGATATGTGACTTGCTGTCTATCCAACAAAAAATGTTCCCATTCTCAGTATACCAAGAGACCACAGGCATGAAGCATTACATTTCTCCATGGTTTCACAGTTGACATGACAACCCATAGGCAGAGATGCTATTGATAAAAAGGATATATACAATAAAACATAAATACAAAAATAATGAAGTTGTGATAAGGCTATGGTTGTCAGGACAAATTAGTTCTGGATGTCATAAAGCTGACCACTGTATCAAGGGAGACAACCCCATAGGTCTGATCTGATACAATTCTGCAGCTCACTTGCATGCGTTGTGTGGCTACAGTTACGTGATAGGTAAAACCTAAACTAGATGTACATAGCTCCCTCTAGACTAAATAGAGTTACCCTGTTCCACAATGTCTGTAGAATTCCTCTATAGCTTGCATGATAAAACACAAATATGTTCAGTTCTGTGAAAAAGAAAAAAAAAATCATTACTGGGAATGCGTATGAAAGTGGCCTCCCCTGAACATTGTGTGATGAATTCCACTCAGCAGTCGTTTTATGGTCCATTTTTATTGCAGATAAATTGTTGGTTTCATGTCACATTTTATTACAATATCATGCCATCTAGTATTCAATTATCTATTTGTTCTGAAAGAAAAGACTAACCATGTTTTATACATTAAGTTGTCGAATCTAATTAGCCACCCTTTATGGATAACAGTGACCATTTTTGTTTCTTTGTTGAATATCTGATAAATATTTATAGTAACAACAACAGAACAGGTGACTAGTACTGCCCACATATCTTATTTCGGGGTTACATATACTGATCCAAAATTTATTCTTGTTTTCAAAATTTGCCATAATTTTGGATTTTGTAGCAGCAGAGCATCACATCAATTCTCATCACTGACAACTACCTATTATGTCTGTTTGATTCAGAATTCCTGAATCATGACCGAGTTGACTTGATGTGAGTTCTGCAGCAGAGGTCCTAACTAATGATATCTATTAAACATTGATCATTGTCTCTCATATGAAAGTAGGTCATAGCAGACAAAACCCAGGACACTTAATAGAGGTTAGAGGTCAAGGAAAGTAAATACTTCAGAAACTCTGGTGTCAGCATGACATGGACTGAACTTATTACAGTTGACGTATAGCCAATATTTCAATTCCCACAGCAATTTCTATGTAAATTATTCTGACAATATGGAAAATACCTAGCACAAACAATTGTTCAATATACTATGGAAAATATATTTTTAAAATCCTTTCAGAGATTCCGAAGTCAAACAATTAAAATAAATTCAAATGATGTGTATGTTTTAAAAAGGCAGGAGTATTCATGATAGAAGATTTTTTCCTGTTTTGTAGGTATTTGTGTTGGCAATAACAGAATTAACCCATGAAAGAAAATCAGTTGATAGAATTGTAATCGTGTGACAGGTCCCTTTGGTATTGGCTGATGTCAGGCAGGGTGTTTTTGACTTATTACTAGTATGTTTTATACCTGATAGTATCAACCAAATACCAAGCTAGTTAATGTAGATTAGTCAGGTTGATGATGATGATGGTGATGATGATGATAATGATGATGATCCTTCTCAAATGCCCTGGTTTAGCATTATCACTCTGTGGGGTCTACAATATGTTGGTAAGACCCAAGAGTTCTAATGACTCCAAGCCGTCTCAGCTGCCACAAATACAGCAAAAATTTTCTGAATAAAAGAGAACATGGTGGCACTTGGTAATGTGTAAAATAGATGGATACATCAGCTTGACACAGTGTGATTTTTACATTTGTAGGGTTTTTTGTTGGGAGCTAAATACCAGAAAATCTCTAGGCCATTAGCTGGTAGATTATAGGGGGTATATACATATGTTCTGTGTCGTCAATCATCACCCACTAATGTTCGACAGTTGTACATTCTCTCCAATTAGATCTGCAAATCTCATTTGTTTGCATCATATTTGTGTAGTTTGCTCCGGAGACATCTGTAGGGAATCGTATATCTGTTGTTGTCGAGGCAAATCACGGCACGGGGAAATCAAAACACATTTACAACTTTGTTATATTATACATATAACTAAATATGGATCATCATCCGAAGTACATCAACAATCAGTGAAACATATAGAAAATTAAAAGACAAATATGCTTATTAGAGAGAAAAATTCTCAAGAGGGTACATGCTTTATTTCTGCAAGGTCATAAGTCATCAACAGAATAGTAGCATCACTAGTTAAACTAATATCAAAACAGGACGTTATGAGATAAAAACCAGCATTCTCTCTAAAGAGAGACGTGTATGGCTGTCATATTTAGATCTCTAACGGGTAGGTATTTAGATACGTAGAACTACAGATTTTGATATATTTAGTAAGACTTCTCTAATGAATAGATTTTCATCTTCTGATACGTCCCTTAACATATCATCTGTTGCTGAAATAGATATTTTTTTACGTTCCCTGAAGAGAGAGCATATAGTTCCTGCTTTGTCCATCCATCCCTCCCTGATAATTTTGTCTGGAGCAATATAACGAAAATTATCAGAGGTATCAACATCAGCTTCATTGATAGGTCTTGATAAGGAGAAGTGCAGTAAACAAGAATCATAACTCTCTTTTTCGTAATTTAGGAGTTATTGAAACTTGGTGTATACATTGGTCATACTAAGAAAATGTGCAGTGTACCAAATTCAGGATCAGCAACTTGTTAATTACAGAATTTTTTTCCCTTTGATTAAATTTTGTGTCCAATAAAGTTATTTTAGGGAGCATTCATCAGGTTCACTGATACTCTTGTCTATTTAAATTTCAAGTCAAAGGGTTTTTTAATTCAAGAAGGAATATAACTATGAAATGGTTGCATTAGATTCACACCAATGCTTGAAGTAGAGCAGAAATAGGATTATAGAAATCAGTGCTATAGACGAAGGTATAAACACAGGAGTGATTAACACAGGTTTTACAGTAGTTCTGCTGACCTAGTCATTCACTGACCTTCATCTTATACTAATTTAAAAGGTAAATTTGCATGTTTACATATACACTATAAAAAGGAACTCATTAACATCATAATAATGGATGTTGGCTGACTTATCAGGCCAATGTAATAGTTATTTTTCTGGTCAATTAATGATCAGTAAACAATAACGAATTCAATCGTTAAATCGTGATAAAACTTTTATTGCCTAATCTAAAAAAATGATAAGACTGGCCAGAATCTAAAATTAATTTAAGATGACTATTTTTCATGAGATTTCAGGAATTCTTATAGTAGTAGACTACCACAAATGTTAAGACACTGTTAGACTTTTTAGTTATCTCAGAAAAACATGATGAAATTCTGTTTAGATTTCAATTCTTTTTCCTCTGCTTTTGTTTGATATAGGATTAAAACAATCCATGATACTTTAGAAATGAAAAATAGTTATTTGTTTTACAAAATGGAACTTTGAGGAAATTTCAAGGCCACCTTTCCCCCTTCTGCTTTGCTCTCAACTCTCCTCCTCTCTCCCTCTGCTGTCTGACTAGCAATGACAAATGCCTACCAGTATAACTTTGCACAAGTTGACCAATAAAGATGGAGTCATTTTTCTAAGAACATGAAAAATTTTCCAATAGAAAGAGCCCAGTTACATTGTGAATGTGTCAGCAATGAAAAAATGACTGCAATTAAATGAATATCCTGACATATATGAAGCTCGGCGACGTTGTTACAACGGACGTCTGTTTGCCACTGGATCAAGAACAGAGATTAATTTTGAGACAACATGGCTGCACATTAACCTCAGCTGTCAGAATTCCGTTAAAATTACACTGCCTTCGGGATCGGTATATCACACAAGGACCCTTATACACTAGTTATAAAAGGAGAATTTGACTGCACTTCCAAATAAGATAAACAAATGTCTATATATAAGGAACAAAATTTAACTCACTCCATCACACTGAGGTTGGCAGCACTATGTTTAAACTTCTCCCAATATCTTGTTATTTTGTCAAATCACCTTTTCGCCAATAACAAGGAATCAGGTCAGTTAGGTTTTTGGATTTTTTTCTTTTTTAAATTGCTTTCAGTGACATTACATCCATCTTGTACAGGTAAGGAATATTCCAGTGCATGTTTTTAGACCTAAATCCTAAGTCATTTACAAGAAACTTTATGTTACAATGAATATCTTTCCGGTACTGTCTTAATTTAACAATGAACCATTTTGGACTTTTCTCAGTCGTTTAAAAGGAATAAAGTGTAGGGTTTGTTGTGGTATCCCTAGTGCTGATAATCATCCTGAACATAATTACAGCTTCTGTGATTAAATCTGTATTGGTGGTATCCACACAAGTATTCTCAGAAATCACCGCAAGTAAAACTTTCCTGCCCAGAATGCTTGGCTCTTCAAATACACAGTAGAAATAAACAAGATCAAAAAGATTTCTTCAGGCCATAACGAGTGCTTGTCATGTGACCATTTGCATCTAGCCATTCCACCTCAAAGACGACACTGCATGATAAAGTCATGTTAGGGTTTAGATGGTTTCCTTTAGTACCTTTGTGTGTTTCTTGTGTTCCTCAGACTCAGTGTCCAATCCACAGGCCTGAAACATGATGATCAAATTTATGTTGATTATGAACACGTCAAATTTATCTGGATTTGCACCTGAATTAATTAGGAGATCTTGATTTGATGTTGAATTGGTCAGGTAAAATTCATGTCAAACTGCAATTAGATTGATAGAAAAGATGACTTTACGTCATTAAAACAGTCAAATAACATTATTTGTTGTCCCATCGATGATGATGATGTCATCTTTCATCAACCATACCAGAGGCCCAACATAACAGCAGTGCAGTTCCTGAATCCAAGTCTGGAAAAAACGTATTGTGTCATTAAACATTAGAGAAACTATTGTATGAATAATAGAACAATGAAATGATTGATATTTCCAGCAGGATTCTGATTCCAACATGAATGCACTATTGTATAATTCAGTGTCATCTGAAAATAATTCAAGGGGGGGGGGGGGGGGGAATGAAAATTCTGTAGAGGGCAAGATTCATCAGCTTTAAGATTTTACTTGTTCTGTTTGGATACATGTATTGCATACATAATTATGTTCATATTTAATTAAATGGTTCTTGAGGACAGAAAAAGATTTACATTTTCTGTAAATGAATGTTTTTGTTGTGGCTGAAGGATTTTTAATGGAGTGGTGCCTGAGCCACACACGAGAGGTGTGTTAAGTGCTGCAGTCGACAACACAACATATAATGAAGCGAGAGTAGTCCAGTCTAATTAGCAAAATCAATAGACATTATGATTAATGATAAAAAAAGAAAGTAATGCTTAAAGCCCATGCAACATTGATAAAGAGTAACTCTACTGTTGTACATCAAGCCACGAAGTCATGTGTTCCATTACTGTCTTGTCGTTAATTGATAATACATGCATCTAAATTCTTTAATAACGTATGAAATTTCTTTTCAAATTTTCCATTGCCGTTGTGTCTGTTAATAATGCTTTACCGTAGCAACCTAAATCAGCTGTGTTTACAGGGTTGTCGGGGCACTATATATACTATACACTGTCAGGCAAAATCACTGGGAATCAATTAAAGTGTATCGTAATTTACAAGGAACCTTATGGAAGGCTTCACAGTCCTGCTGTGTTTGCTGGCCTAGGTGACATGTTGTTAATATGTGTAATATCTGTGGGACATTGCTCGGATTCTGATACACTCTGGATCCTGTATTACAATTTACCACAATAACACGAGCCACACAGGGCTGCACGCGTCACATGATTGCTGTCGTCCCTCCTATCGCTGTGTCTCCATCACACATTGCTGTACACTTTGTATGGTTCACTACGACAACGACGACAATTCCTAGAAAGTGAAGTGAGCAAGACTTCAATTACCCAGGTCATGTGACCACTTGGCGTGTGTATTTCACAACTTGGAGCCTTTGGTCTGCTGTGAAACACAATAATTGGCATTTTGTAGTCTTCTTTTATTCTACTCAAGTCTAGAACATGGATTTGCAGTTAGTGTGAGGGAGAGACACTAGCAGTACTTAGTACAGTTGGAGAGTTGCATAAGAGACCGTACTGAAAGTCTTCCTCTATATATATAGAAGTTACAAGTCAGAGATTTTAATGACTACTTAACATCCCTGTGGAGTTTACACATCTGTAACTGCCGATATAGTCGATGGTGTTGAGATTTAAATCATTTAAGTGTCGTTTAATTTCTGGATTGTAATTGTTACATGAATGCATTACCTACTTTTTATGAGTGTTTAAAGGACATCTCTATATATAAACTGAAAATTATTTGATATTGAACATACAATTAAAGAATAAAAGCTGATTCCAAGCTATGGATTGAGTATGCACATGGCCATTGACAAGAATGTGATTGATGTGTCAGCGCTAACGTTATGGATAGATAAGACATTGATACTGTACAGGACACTGTGAATAACGATGAATTCTGAAATGATGAACTTTGTAAAGATCTTCATTTTTGTGTGTACAAATGAAATCAGTGACAATGGACATTTAAACAGTTTGCATGTTTGAATTCAACATTTTTTGGTGATTTGCTTTCAAATGATGAACACTTGAAAAGAAATTGACTTCATCTTTTACAAAAATGGTGATTATCTCCCCTTTAATTGCTCGTTGCAGACACGCATTTACGCATTCACACTTCGGCTGCCAACAGGGGGCACCCCCACCAGGAGTGGTATACCCCCAACACATGTCCCAAGATTATTACTCTAAGTTCAGCAACACTAGTCATCGGATGAAGGAGAAGTTGGAGAAACGGTGCTCCTGGAAATGGACAGCGGTCATTCTCATGGTCATCTGTGTTATTCTGCTAGCTTGTGCAGCATGTTTTGGAGGTATGTATACAGTTTTAATATACTTCAAGCTAGGTATGAAATGTTGAAAAAGAGTGTGATATCAAACAACATTCTTTTCTTATTTTCTTAATTCTTATTGGCTCGAAATCTTACTTTTGCTATTTACGGGAAAATATGAATGACTTATACATATTGTAGATATTGTGATGTCTTGATGGGTATGAGTTTTCAACTGATATGTGTAGTGCAAAATTAAAGCTCTGTATGAAATTTTTTTAAAAAATCATGAAACTACGTTATTTTCAGATTTTCTATTTGAAATAATTTTTCAAAAATAGGAAATTCATTTCAAAATTATTTGGATGCAACATCATAAGTAATTTAATGACACCAAAGTCATTTAGATTATAGAGTAGACATTATCAGCTTTTTAAAACCATGTATTAATTCTCTGGAGTGTTTGTACAACAAATCGGCCTCCCCCATTTGTTGTGAAAAAAACCTTCACCTTTTGCGGAGATTTACCGTAGATGTTTTTTCACCAATATGGTGAATTTGTCTTAATTTAATATAAATGGTATGGGTAACTGGAGAATAACAGTGATGCGATGGCTGATTACCAGCTCGGAATTACCCATCCTAACCTTTATATAGCCAATTATGGTCAGCTTAACAATGAATTCAAAGCATTGCTGTTATTTACATTTGTTAACGAAACGCAAAAAACCTCTTTCATTCAGTGTATAAACTTCAAATTGACAAAGTGATCACTTGAATATTGAGACAGTAAATTTAACAAATTTAAGATGTTTTCTTCTTGATTTGCAAAATAAATACCTTTGAGTGACTTTGAAAATCTAAGATGAATCTCTAAGAGTTGACTAATCTTGATCTTGAGAGCAAGCTTTGGTTTTGTCGCTGACCTTTCGTCATGCTAGCGTTTATCTTTCCCAGAAGTATTCCTAACTTCTCTAAGATATCCCCGATTGATTCATGTTTTTTCATGAATTTCAATAATTGCCTTGAGCCTGGCTATTTAGGAGGTTCCCAGATCCTAGATACTATCCAATCAGCATTTATTGTTAAATCAAGGCCATATCTAGATATTCCTTTAGGCCAGATTCTGCGATTGGGTTGCCTATTCTGCTTGACCAGTGATTACCAGCCCTGATTAAGGTTGTGGGTGATTTAGGCTTACAGTACTTATCAATGCCAGATTTTCAGGTTTCAGTGTTTAAAAAGGATGTCTTTCTTATTTATTTGTGAATACTTTCAGTAATCTATTAGATGAAAGTTGGTATAAATTGTCTTTTTTTAATGTTTTTTTTGTGCTTTTCTACAGGAAGAACTACATTAGAAAGTTCTTTTTCAATTTTGGCACTGGTGTTACAATTGATATAGCCGTGTATTGATTACAATATTGATAGAAAGACCAGAATCAACACTGTGGCCACAAATGGCTATATCAAGTACAGTAGTATCAAATTAATATCAGATGTATAATACACTTACTATTGACACAGCTGTCAGATCATACTTAATGGTATCTCCTTATATGGTGCCTTGTTTTAATCTAATTTGATATGGATTACATTTATGCCAGATGCTATAACATGGCTGGCTCTTCACTTCATTCTATCATCAACAAACATCAAAGTTGGTTGACTGTTTATTGAAATAGTTTACAATATGTTGCTGAATTTAGTGAAAGTTTAACTGTTAAAACTTGTTCTTTATCAATATTTGTCACTATTTCTATAAAAAAAAATTCTTTAAAAATCATACACGGTTTTGAAAAAAATCTCCATACTATTGTGTAATAAATGTTACATGAATTCATTCAATTTTGCCATTTAGTTTTTGTTGCATACTCTACTAATTACGAAAAAAAGGAAATTCACATTAATGCTAAATCTAAAAAAAGTCATCCAGAACAGTTCCAATTAGGTAATTTTATTTCACTAATTGATATCAGTTCTAATTTGTCTCGATACTGCAATTAGCTGAGTATTTTGAAAACAGAAAAAAACATATAACATTATGACAGGAAAACTGTCATTATGACTGTTGCGATTACCCATTAAGGGATGGTTACTCATGCAAGTTGTTCCAATTTAATGGCAGAATATTGACAATGTTACATGATGGCTGGGTTTTCTGCTGAACGAGTCTATTGATGATGTTTCCCATGAAATACAAATTAGTAGCATGGCCTACCTATACATTCTGTTCATCGGTATGTTTTAAGAAATGAATTTTAAAGTAGTTTATCCAGTTACCCGGGGAATGATTTGAATCTATTTTATGGACATCTTCCAGTCAGTTTCAGTATTGGTTTGCTCCCAGCATGCATTGGGCTTTAATCCATTACAGTGTTGCCATAGCACTCGTTTGAATGATTGACAGGAGAAGCTTGGATCATATTGCCTCTCCCAGGGCCAATATCACACAAGTGTTAGATACACAATCCTTTACCAAACTATGACAAACCTGTGTTTTAATATTGGAAATTAAATATGGATTTTCCTGGTGTGCCTTTTATTAGAACACTAGTTTGTTGAATCAGACATGAAACTCTGAGGAGATAGGTATCAATATAAAATCTGGTGTCTGTCCATCATCAGATAAAAACTACTCATTGTTTTACTGGCCACTCAGTGGTTGTACAGTTTTACTGGTCCCTGATGTCCATATCCGATTTTTCTGTATTACTCAAGAGACAACAAATCCTGATTATCTGTGATATTCTACTTCATGTGTATTGGTCATCTTTGGTCTAAAATTATTAGTTGTCTCCCTTGATAAAACATTGACCATTTGGTTTATACAGCTATCAACAGATATCATCATAAATTTGTGTTGTTTTATGTAGTATGATTCTGTTTGTAAATGGATGTATGGCTGTCTTACTACATAAACTTAATATACATTATCTGGTTAGTGTCATTTATCCAGAGTGATGGTTATCTCCCCTTAAAACCTATCAATACACTACAAGATCTGAAATGTGATATACTACATCAGAATTTAAGTTCAGAATATATGTCCAAATGATTTTAGTGCTGCTAAATCACAACATACCAATACTTCATCTTCTTTATAAACAAATGATTATCCTTGACTAATGTTGAAAAAAAAAATGAATAGGAAATGAAATAAAACATCATGTATCAGTGAATCAATGTTATGGTTGTAAGTTCTGTATTGATTTGGTATTACAATGTTTTCAGTAGATGAAATGATAAAAGGTTACATTTATATGCAGTAAAACCTTGATACAATTTAATTGGGTTTTTCCTCTAAAAATTCTTCACTAGATCAGTTACAGTCTTGTCTTGTAGATTTGGAAATATTTATGTATGTATTTGATTGTATTTTTTGGGGTTGAACAAATTTTTTTTCACTCTTCATTCCCAAGTAAATGCTTCAGTAATTCTGACCTGACCATTTGTTTCTTGTCTCTACAGCCATGCTATTATTTGAAGAAAAAGAAATGGTAGCTACAGAAAATGGTCATAGTGCCTTGAATTCTAGTCGGACAGGTGAGTTTTCTCAGGAATTACAGAAAATAGTCATAGTGCCATGAATTCTAGTCAGACAGGTGAGTCTTCTCAGGAGTTACAGAAAATAGTCATAGTGCCTTGAATTCTAGGCGGATAGGTGAGTTTTCTCAGGAGTTACAGAAAATGGTCATAGTGACATGAATTCGTGTCAGACAGGTAAGTTATCTCAGGAGTTACAGAAAATGATCATAGTGCCTTGAATTCTAGTCGGACAGGTGAGTTTTCTCAGGAATTACAGAAAATAGTCATAGTGCCATGAATTCTAGTCAGACAGGTGAGTCTTCTCAGGAGTTACAGAAAATAGTCATAGTGCCTTGAATTCTAGGCGGATAGGTGAGTTTTCTCAGGAGTTACAGAAAATGGTCATAGTGACATGAATTCTAGTCAGACAGGTGAGTTATCTCAGGAGTTACAGAAAAATATTCTATTGCCATGAATTCTAGTCTGACAGGTGAACTTTCTCAGTAATTACAGAAAATGATCATAGTGCCATGAATTCTAGTCGGACAGGTGAGTTATCTCAGGAGTTACAGAAAATATTCTATTGCCATGAATTCTAGTCTGACAGGTGAACTTTCTCAGTAATTACAGAAAATGATCATAGTGCCATGAATTCTAGTCGGACAGGTGAGTTATCTCAGGAATTACAGAAAATAGTCATAGTGCCATGAATTCTAGTCTGACAGGTGAACTTTCTCAGGAGTTACAGAAAATGATCATAGTGCCATGAATTCTAGTCAGACAGGTGAGTCTTCTCAGGAGTTACAGAAAATGGTCATAGTGCCTTGAATTCTAGGCGGACAGGTGAGTTTTCTCAGGAGTTACAGAAAATGGTCATAGTGACATGAATTCTAGTCTGACAGGTGAGTTATCTCAGGAGTTACAGAAAATGATCATAGTGCCTTGAATTCTAGTCTGACAGGTGAACTTTCTCAGTAATTACATTTACCATTTTAATCCAATGCTTTTGTTTTCATTTGTTATCATGAAAATTGTTCTTGAAAAAAAATTAAGATAGAAGGTGGCTTCTGATGTACTAGATTTAGATTGTCTTTACTATGGTAACAAGCCTGTGAGTGTTAATGATACCTGACATTTCTATCTTGTGTATTGTTTATGATATAGGTATAATAGTATAAGTAGTACGTTGATCTGTTTATAATTATCCTTGTATTTATTCCTCACAGGTACAAGAGTAAATCCAAGTTTCCAAAATCCTTTATTATTCCAAGTTGGAGATGTGAAACAAACCAAAATACAACCACAGTCTTTTTGGACAATGAAGTTTATGCAGAAAGAACCAAAATTTATCAAGTTTAATTTCTCAATACCTGGCAGTGCAATGCTTGGTTTTTATGCCAGACGACATACCCCACCAACAATAGCACAATTTGACTTCTTTGAAGTCTTCGATGGAAGTAAAATCACACCATCCTCCAGAAACAAAAGAGCTCTATCAAAGGTAAGTATTGTATATGTAGCATATGTCCTTAAATTAAACACTGAATTAGATGTTGACTATATTACCTGATGTACAATCACATGATCTGATGGGATGAGATATTTCATTAAAAATTTAATGACAGAACACTTACAGCTGAAATCAAGAATTTACTCACAATTGTTTTTGCCATTAGCTATTCTGCATCATAGTTGAGAACAAACACTAGCTGTAGCTGGTAGCCTGCAAAATATGATTACATTTTCCCTTTTAGATGAGAAACCAAAAAAAATCAAAGTCTGTCGCTTTAATACCAATTCTGCAGTGTATCATACAGGGATTGCTATAACTTACTCTATAATTGTTTTTCATTCATGGAGAAATTATTGAATTACGTATTGATTTACGTTTCATATCTAAAAGTGATTTGATTAAATATGTACAAATGAACAAGGTTAAGGAGATATTTATGGTGTAGAGTTGTACAGCAAATCTCCCCGACAGAAGAACACAGCCGAACACTGGCAGCTTCAAAGTCAGAACCATCTAATGATGTTAATTACTAGCTGTGTATCTCCTCATCCATTTCTATTTTTAAGTGTTTTATATATATATATATATATATATATATATATAGATGTGGTAGATATTCTCAGTATTTGATAGTCAAAAAATGCCAGTTAACTGTCAACATGTGAGCCCTAACTGGACTTTTGATAAACATGAACAACAACAAACTATTAATCATATATTTCCTATTGCATGAATATTTGGTGTCATTATTTAAGGATACCTGCCAGCATATTTCTTCATCAAAGGTCAAAGTGCATCTTACCAACTACTGTCAATACACCAAAATTTATTGTCAAAAGTGCACCTACCAAGTATTGTGATAATTTCTTCTTTAACAGACACCAACACTGTCAATAAAGGTCACAAGTGCACCTGCCAAGTGTTGTGATTATTTCTTCTTTAACAGACACCAACACTGTCAAAAAACGTCACATGTGCACCTACCAAGTATTGTGATAATTTCTTCTTTAACAGACACCAACACTGTCAAAAAAGGTCACAAGTGCACCTGCCAAGTATTGGGATAATTTCTTCTTTAACAGACACCAACACTGTCAAAAAAGGACAAGGTGCACTGTACCAATTCAATTATTGTCAAAATATATTCTTGAACTAACAAGCGATGAACTTAGGTATATTGTGTAAACAAGTGTTTGAGCACACTGTCAAGAAAACTAAAGCTTTTACCTGCCTGTAAATCAGATCCTACTGCTATGATATGTTTTTATTGTTTCGTATGTCATTCCAAAGACCATTTACCTTTAAGGACACTTACCATAACCTGGAGACCTTTCCCTAATGTGTACATTTTTATGGGATAATTTTGCAACATTTCTGATGCAGTGGTGTATTGTTATAACATTGGTGCCACCATGTTTCATATGTTTGACCTTGCTATGGGCTTTTATTGTCATCTTTTTGCCTTGTAAGTGGTCTATCATGAGACCAAACTGCTTTCTCCCAAGATCAGCATTCACAGAAATGTTCAGCAAATTCCATTCCGCGGCTCTACATTGGGTGCTTAACAACTTGGTGGTTGGTGTAGTTTTATGTATAGGGTTTGTTACAAACGTTTTGCAACATATGTGTTTAGCTGTAAAAGTTAGTTTACTGAAAGTTAACTACCTGGACTGCAGGTGCACTGAAGAGACAACACAAGACAAGGGACCAGTTGTTCAGGATCTTATTTAATTTATTATATCGTGTAACCTCTCCTCTTATCTTAATATTTTCTTATAATGAAATGTCAAAAAGGAGGGGTACATATATACGATTTATTCAGGATTTGTGACCAGATATTATGATATAAGAACTAAATGCTTGTTAAATTCAAAGCTGAAGTATCTGTTTTATGTTTAAGACTTTTAGTGTTTGGTGGCAGTAGCCTTACGATATTGGTGTTTGGGTTTTAGGTGATGATTAAGTCTTTGGTTGTTAGGCACCACATATTTGTGTATGCATCATTTAAGGCTTTTGATGACGTTTTACTGTAAGCACCGGATATTGGTGTCTGGTTGTAGGTATGAGATGTTGATGTCTGGTTTTATTAACCAGATATATGGTTAATATTTGTTAGATCATACATTTGATATGGAACCCACTTCTTCTGTCAATTTGAACATATTTGTTCGTGATTAGCTCCTAATGTATAGATTTTACAAGTATAAGAGTTGTCCAGCCTTTTCTCTTCTCCTTCTGTCTCTGCCTCCCCTCCCCTCTCATTGCCCTCTTCTGCCATTATCCCCCACCCCTCACCTCCCTTCCCCTTCCCTCACCAATTTCCTTTCCCTCCCATCTCCTCCATGTCTGATCTTTAACTAGGATTATGTATCTATCTTAATTTCCACCATTTGAGCTACAATAAAACAGAGAGTATCTGCAGCAGTGGTAAACACTTATCTATATAGATCCCTGTCATAGTAAGACTTTCTGTCTGGCCTATAATCATGTAAGTCTGTATATTGGAGTTGACTGAAATGTAATTATATTAATTGACCACATTAAAAGAACAGTAAATAAAACTTAATCTGCTGCTCCCCTAACTTGAAAGAACTTTTTTTTTCAATTTAATGTTATATGTTTGTCTGTTATCAGTCTTCTCAATGCTTCTTAACTCTCAAGTGATATGCTCCGTGCAATGTGGTGTCTACTTTATCTTTAGTAAATTTGCAGACTTAAATCTACAATAATTCCTGCATGGGAATTCAGTCACTTTTCCAAATTTCTGTAGGTAATCAGTATGTTAAGGGTACTTCAAGTCTATTTAATTTTTTGAAAATGTTAACACTGAAGATTGCTGTGAGCCTAGCAGACTGTCTTGAGATTGTTCCTTAGTTATCAAATAGACAATACAAAATCTATTGAATTAAAGAATTTTATTAAGCTGCGTACATTTAAATTGCATCGAAATTAAATTATAGATTACTGGTATCTAGAAATTAAACTTTAATGAAATTGAGATTAAAAACTGAAAAAATTACATCTAAGTACAAATTTGCCTTCCAGCAAGAAAATCAAACTCTAAAGTTCTCCCAACATGCAAAAATATTTAAATCTATTCCATTGGTGCCGTGATTTAGAATTCGAAATCTAGAAACTAAATTAGGTAAAAAGGAGAAAATTTGCATGATTAAGAAATCTGATGTTTTGAATTTTTACCCTTATATATTTTTAAGTATTGATAATGGAGACAAGTCACCTGATACAGACTGATATTTTTACAGGACAAACGAAGCTACAATGGTAAAGACACAGCACTGATTCATTATATGGAGGAAGGCAATTGGTATGTTGCAGTGTTCAATGACCGCAATGAGCCGGAATACATCTCCTTCAAAACAGACGTGTATGGTGAGAGTCTAGACAGCAGGTCATATGTCGTCGGGAAAACTTTCAGTTCCCTCATCTGTTATATCAAATTAATGAAGTTTTCTTGAGAAACCATTTATCCAAAATGATGTCTACCCTTGACGTGTGTTGGGTAACAAGAAGACTTTGTTTCCACCAATTTCATAGACTTCGTATTAGTTTGATGTATACAGTATATTAAAAAAGATCCATGCACACAAAGCAGTGAAACTTCTGTTCAATTTTTATATGTTCTATTGAAAAGTTATTGATACAGGAATATTAAGTCAAATTTTATGATTCAGTAATTTTAGACATATCTACAGCTGGTGCCCGTGATTTGGCAAAATACATGCACCTTATGTTGCAGTTGCTGTCTTTCCATCTAATCAAAGTAAAAATTGAAATTAACAACAATGTTGGAAAAATCCATTATAACTAAGCAATATTCTGATAAGTGAAGAATTTAGAGTTATATGTAGGATTAAAGAAAACATTTTAAATTCTGAACACACTTATTTTTTGTTTTTTTTTTTTACCAATCAGATACGCTTGGCACTGACTGCCCTAATGACTGTCATGGACATGGGGAATGTTTCAAAGGACAATGTCGCTGTTTCCCTGGATATGCAGGATGGGACTGCTCACAAAGTAAGTTTTCAGAAAAATTTTAAATATGACAATTATCCTAATATTACAATATGATGGGAAGTCGTCAAAAACATTAGAAAACTTGTTACAACTAAAGACTTAGGAGGCTGTCATAAGATGTGGATAGTGTAGGAAAAAATACAGCAACTTCTGTAGCTTTGGAGGCTGTCATAAGGTGTTGATAGTGTAAGAAAAATTATAGCAACTTCTGTAGCTTTGGAGGCTGTCATAAGGTGTTGATAGTGTAAGAAAAATTATAGCAACTTCTGTAGCTTTGGAGGCTGTCATAAGGTGTTGATAGTGTAAGAAAAATTATAGCAACTTCTGTAGCTTTGGAGGCTGTCATAAGGTGTTGATAGTGTAAGAAAAATTATAGCAACTTAAGCTGCTTTGGAGGCTGTCCTAGTGGGTCTCCTCTAATTAGCTGCTTGTTATGTCATATTGCTTATATTTTGTTATCAACTAACTCCAAATGTTTCCATCTCAGTATACAAAATAAAAAAGGAAATTTACTAACTGCTAGGACTATACCAGTCCTTAAGAAAATCAAAATCCATCAGCTCCATTGTTGAGCTGGCACACAATTGTTTTATCTCAGATTTACAAGATTACAGTATACTTGTCAAATTGTATTATCTATAGGAATAAGGATACAGGGCATTCAACTTCATTACAACATAGTCCAAGGCTATAGAGGAGGTATACACTTAACAATAACCTTGATTTTCAATGATGTCTTCAACAAGACTGACACATTTATTATGTTCTGCTTAAATGTTTTAACTGAGGACATCTGAAACTGAAAAATCATATTATCATGTTGTTTACTAACCTCATGGAACCCCAATGGCATTTGTGTACAATCCAAAAAGGCCTTGTTGTTGATGGCTTTGGTCAGTGAAGGAATACCTGCTGTAAGAAAAAGGCAATTTAGTTTGAGGTTGATGAGAAACGATTGGCCATTACCAAATGTTACTTTAAACCATTACTGAAAGTGGGTTGGATAAATCAAATTAGGCTTCGAAAGCAGACATAGGAGATTCTAAAAAAATAGCCAGATATGCTGATGGTGCCAACTTTTATATGAGGGATACTTCATCAGTATTGATGCTTGGGAAGAATTTGATTCATATTTCTTGATTAATAATATTAGGATGGTGTCATCTATCACCCATCCACAGAAAAGCTCACCAAAGACTTGTCATCATCAGACTGTGTTCACAGCAACACTTCCAATTTGACCTGGATTGCCCATTCAGTGGGCTCTTTATTCCACATCACATCATGAGACCATTTAAAATTATTTTAATACCAAGCTCATATTTTCATAAAATCAAAATATTGTCCACTTTATTGACAGGTTCGTTACAATAAATATCTAGAAGTATGGTTGTCACATGACACTGCTACCTCTCGTGTAACAGCCTAGCTTCCCATCTTCCCATCATAACACTGATTCATCATCACCACTCATAGCTACCATTGACTCATCTGAATTGAAGATGAACAGGTTATACCCCCACATGTATTTTAGCTGGTGACTCCTAAAAGAGACAGATTTCCGTGGTGGAAACCTTCCAGGAGCTTTACAAGAAACATGAAAATGGTTATAAGGGATGGAGCTATTCTTAATAATATGTCATTCTTTGGTTGCGGGTACTGTGTGGTAACTCACCACAAGCCCATCCATAATGGGTTAACTTTTTTTTTTTCAATTGTAACAAAATAAAACAAAACAAAAAACAAAAGCAAATTTCACAGATCCTTAAGTAATTTCAGTTTGACATTGAGAATCTGCAAATGACTACAGAATTGCTCTGAGAACCAATTTCATTTCAGCATATTTTCCTAACACATCTCATATGGAAAATTGCTATTTTTTTTTTTTTTTTTTTAATTTCAAACAGGAATCAAAACAAGTTAGTTTCTTCATCAAACAATATGTTTAAAGCAAACTGTGAATACATTTTCTGTCAATTCAAATGTTACAGTAGTGCCTGTCTGACTACAGGTGTCATTTATGACTGCTTCATAGAAAAGGATGAGAGTTCATGAGACCCTGTAGTGTGTTTGTGAGACCTGTAGTATGTTTGTGAGACCTGTAGTATGTTTGTGAGACACTGTAGTGTGTTTGTGAGACCTGTAGTGAGACCATGTTGTGTGTTTGTGAGACCATGTAGTGTGTTTGTGAGACCATGTTGTGTGTTTGTGAGACCATGTAGTGTGTTTGTGAGACCCTGTAGTGTGTTTGTGAGACCCTGTAGTGTGTTTGTGAGACCTGTAGTGTGTTTGTAGACCTGTAGTATGTTTGTGAGACCTGTAGTATGTTTGTGAGACACTGTAGTGTGTTTGTGAGACCATGTAGTATGTTTGTGAGACCCTGTAGTATGATTGTTAGACCATGTTGTGTGTTTGTGAGACCCTGTAGTATGTTTGTGAGACCCTGTAGTATGTTTGTGAGACCATGTTGTGTGTTTGTGAGACCTTGTAGTGTGTTTGTGAGACCCTGTAATGTGTTTTTGGAACCTGAAGGGGCTCGCTTTTTTGGGTCATGGCCTTGTGAGGATATACCAAAAGGACCTTTAGTTTCAATCGATGATGTTAACAGCTTTATAAAGTCTTGCTGAGTACATCACAAGGTCCAATTAAGGTCTCATCAACACAAAAAATTCTGGATGTGCAGAAAGAACAAAGGCAGTGCTGATTTCCTGCTGGTGATCTTACGTCCTCTAACTCGGTATTAGTATTTTTTTTTTTTTAATTTGACGGTGCACATGGGGTGTCATGATATTGACCTTTTCAATCACCCTCTATCCCACAGTTGATTGGCTATTATGGAGTCTCCAGATGGATTCCATACAATTCAGGATGTGTCATGCATGAACTCTTTAAATTATAGTCATTTAAATTTGTATCTCTAATGGTTATTTTCAGTTTAGTATTTTCAGATTAATGATTCTACATTTTAACCAAATTTTTCAGATAGAATATAGAATCATAAACTGAGGGAGTCAAATAACATAGCTTTATACAACCATTTATGTTCGGAGTAAAAGCTCTCTTTCACTTGTCAGGCTCAGGAATCTTTAACAAAAATAATGATATTGCTTGGCGTTAAAAACAAAATTCTTGTAATGTAAATTGTCTTTATTTTTTTATCTTGTTGATCCAGCTGACAGAAATTGATTTCCCTTGCTGATGTACATATCCCTAGACTCTGTTAAATAATTCTTTTATCCTTAGGATAATCCTTTCACTCACAGGTGGCAGGATTCATATGTTAATCATGTAAACTTAATTAGCCAAGTTTCAATCATCTGTGTCTTTTTCATCACTGTTTTGTCTGCTTTACCAAGAATGTAAAGAAGATAAATTCATCATTTTATAACATCATTATCATTTTTCACATATTGTTAAAATTTTAATCCAAGAGTGATGTTTGATTACAAGTTCAAGATTTTAAAAAAAATGTGTTTTAAATTAGAAAAATATAAGTTGACAGGTTGTCAGGTTGATGGCGTTAAACATGAACATTTCGCTGTCTCCGTGACTATGAGTGGTGTACTTGGAGTTGAGTGTCCCTCTTGATTCTGTGACCATTACTCAAATAAAGGTCTCCTCCTGGGTCTGCCCTCAGGGAGTTACAGCCCTAACAGCCTCTTTATAACACATTTCTCCAGATGGAAGGAGGGGACAGGATGAAACCTTTGAAACAAAGAAACTTTCTTGTAAAATCAGCTGTTCATTACTGTTAATTACATAGGAAAGCACATTCCATGTGTTTCTGCAAGATTTTTTTTTTAGGAGAAAAAATATCTCATTTCCACAAAGGGCTATTGAAAAATGTTTTTGTTCATGATCCGGAGAAGTCGGTTCCTGTTGTCTGAGATTCATAAAACGTCTACAGAAAGACAATTCCGGAATTTCCTGTTCATAGGCCTGCTCGTAAAGTTTAATTCCGAACTGATTCTCTGACATCAGTGAATGATCATAGTTTGATCAAAGTTGAAAGCCGAAGTTTTTGGTATTGATAGAAGGGTTTGAGACAAGAAATAATTGTCTTTGAAACCAGTGTAGGGGCTGTAACCACATAATTATAGGGTTAATTCAGAAATAAATGAATGTTTTAGGGTGGTTTTTAGGGATGACATACTTAGAGGCATTTCGTGTCTCCAATCAGGGGATGCACAATGCTGTTGTTCTTTAGGCTGTATCACAGAATGCTATCAATATTATATTGCTTTAGTATTGCAGAAAATATTGAAACCTAGAATAATGAAATGTGTATGTATATCATCAGATGACTGTGCTTCATGGTGAATTAGTGGAGTGATTTGTAGTCTGTAGATGAGATCCATAGAGTGATATTCAAAATAATGTGATGTCAACTTTCATCTGACTTATATCAATATAGATGGTAGAATATTATTAGAGATATATGACTTTGCTCACAGACAGTATTTAATTATCTCTATTGTCTGCTGGAAATCTTATCTACTTCTCAAGTTTTTACTTACTTCGATATATCAATGTACAAAAAACTGCTATTATGCAGTCATCATCTTTAATTTATTAGGGTCTTGTTTCAGAAACCTGTCAAAACTGGCTCCATTCAAATTCTAAAAGAATTCCAACATAATCTGTATATTTGTTGTATTTTACAGCCAAGTGTCCTGTCCTTTGTAATGGTAATGGTCTGTACATACGTGGAACCTGTCGCTGTCATGAGGGATGGAAGGGGCCAGAATGTGAAATTCCCATCCATGAATGCGAAGTCCCAAACTGCAATGGAAATGGAAAATGTGTCAATGGACAGTGCGTGTGTTTGCCTGGGTATAAGGGGCCTCACTGTGGTCTAGGTAAGTGAACGTTTGTAAGCTATAGTTTTCTGTGTGGTGTAAAATTGGTTTCTCCTAATCTACAATCTTGTATGGTATATGTCGTAGAATATATAAGCCATCTGCAGAGCTTTTGCGAGTGGCCAGTGATATTTATACATATAATCCTTAATTCCAGGTTGTCAACACTATATACACTGTAACTATATATTGATGTGTATTTATATCTCCATGGAGACCAATAACTGTCTTATTTTCTGTTATAAAATGCGTACACACCACTATTACTTTGTAACATTTATTGTTGTAATTGTATCGTATAATCATCATTTTAATATCCTGTTTTTGATGACTTTGCTTTTACACCAGTGATAAAAAGCCATGATAAATGTTGATAATTTAGAACATGTCAGATCTGCTCGCTGTGACTACATGTAGTGCGGTACCGTATATAGAAGTGAAATGATGGCGTATTGTGTCATAATATCCGTTACATCCTGTGTACATGCTGATGAAAACCTTAGTGATACTTTTGATTGATTGACGATGCTTCAATATGACTTGTTGCAGACTACTACATAGGGTCAGACATAGGTAATATTTCACACCCAAATGCCAGCCACATCCGCCACAAAATATAGTCCACTATTTTTTTTTTCCAAATTATAATATATTGCCCTGTCATGAACCAGGTCTTCCTTTTCAGGTAGAATTTTGCTTATAGACTTGGTTCAATCTCTAAAAAGCCTTTAATTAACAAATGGTGACAGTGACTAGATTTACAAGTATTTGTTTAGTCTATTACTTAGTGTAATTGCTTTATAACTTGTACATCTGCGTTCATTTCTATTCTCTGATTTGATTGTCAATTGAAAATTTAATTGACTTTCAAATGTGAAATAGAATCTGATTTCGATCTGGGATGATTTATTCTAAAATAATCTCAGTAATGATATAGTCTCGCTTATTTTGGATAATTTGAAAAAAACCAAACTGAAGCAATTAGACTGTCAGCTGTACTACATACATACATATATATAAACCTGTTTGATTTTTTAAACCTATCCTTGACCTCTGGAGGTCACATTATTTTGACACCATTCACTGCAGACTTGTGTGCGATGTTTTGATGGTGTGGTGATCCATGTCTGTAAACCAAATCTATACATATACCCACAATGCACCACATCTAATAGTTGTACCATCTGAATGAGATATTGTCAAATCACAAAAATCCAAACAATGCTATTTCCCGAATGTTTTTATTGTCAAATCACACAAATACTTTACATGTGTCATCATCCGAAATATTCATTGTTGCCTCTCGATGAATTGTTGTAAATTTCCAAACTTGTTTATCCTTGACTGTGATGTCTGTGTATTTGTCTGTTATTTCATTTCCTCATGTCTTGTCTGATTATCTCCCTTGTATTGTCTTATTATCTCCCTTATTTGTCTTTTACTCTTTATTTCCTAGACTTTTGACTTTACTAGATATTGTATTGTAGGTCTGATTGTTTTCATTCTTGTTCAAATGTGTATATATCATGCTGCTTTATTCTTCATTGCCTCTCAAGCTTTTAATCTTATGTGTAGTTCATATAATTCTTTCATGTGCTTGTACTAATTTCATTTGTAAAATAGCTTCTGGCTCCACATTCAATGCAGACGTTATCAATTCTAAATTTTAAAAAACTTTGACCAATCTGTACTTGTTCAATGAAGCAGGTCAATTTCTTAGTAATGCAAGGTCTTGCATAGAGCTCAGAAATCTTTGAGGTCGAACTATTTCTGCATTGAGTGTGGATTATACAGATAGTGTGAATATTTCTTTATTTGCACATTTGTTTCTTTTTTTATGCCCAAACTCTTACTTGTTACACAGTTGACTGTCTTGTCCCTAACTGCTCTGGTTATGGGGTCTGCCATCTTGGGAACTGTGTTTGCCACAAAGGGTATAAGGGTTCAGACTGTAGCCTTCCTGATAAACTAAACATCAGCCAAGTCTGTGCCCGTGACTGTTCGGGTCACGGCACATATGACCTTGAGTCTGACACATGCCTTTGTGAAAGGTTCTTCGCAGGGCCGGATTGTGAGACAGGTACAGTAATTTGGAATTTTAAATATAGGTTATTGCATTTTGGTTTTTAAGAACAAAAAAAAATCCAGTTTGTTGAGTTTGAAATAATCAACCCTCCCTTTTAGTTACAAATACTAAATGCTCCCTGGAATGAGAAGTTTATCATAGTGGGTAGACTAACCACCGTTTATGACTAATTATCTGCGTGACTAACACATGTCTAATATACTAAACTGAAGATACTAAAAAAAATTTCATCTAACTTAGTTATCATATGCAGCACAACTTTCAAACCATGTATCTCTTAATAGATATCAGTAATTCTGAATTTTAACAAAAGGTAAAGTCTCAACAAATCTGTCTTTTTCACTTATTTCTTTTGACAAAATTGATAACTTTTCATTGCCCTTCTTTTTTTTCATTGCAATTGATCAATCTTAGTATCATTTCCATCATAACCAAATCATTTTGTGTCTTAATTATTTTCATCTTCGATTTCAGTTTTAAATAATGATCATTTGTGCATTGATAAAAGCAAAACATTTGTGAAGTTCATTAGAGTTGTACCTCCTGATCACTAACATCAACCAATGTATGTAATAAAACAGGGACCCACAATGTACACCAACTGTGTGTGATTCAAAACTCCATATCTTCAAATCGGGATTTCTTTGAAAAATAATCCACTATCAAATATGATAAGGATTGCTTACAAGTTTAGATACACGTATATTCTTGCACTACTGGTGTTGTGAAGACAAAAACAAGCAGAAACGTCAATCAAACTAAATGATTAAAGACCAAGTGACCAGACTTCGGAAATGAGCAATACAAGTGCTTCTATGAGTTAAACTTGTCATTTTGTGACTTTTTTTTTTCATTTGTTGACTTTCAAAAGAATTTTGGCATGCTACACCATGTTGTGCTTGAGACTATCACTGCAGGCATGTTAGCATTTTGAAAAGTTTGTGTGTTGCATATTTTGTGGTCATGCAGAAATCTGCCCTTAACAAGTGTGCCTTTTGCACATCAGCTCAGGCATGCTTCATTACATAGTCTTTAGATCACTTGCATGCATTTGAATATTGACAAATGAAATGGAAATGTTTCTCCAACAGAAATTTGAATCCCCCTTTTTATTGTGTGTTAATAGAATTTACTGTTGGGAGTTGAGGACAAATGTTATTTGTTGTGTTGAATTTGCCTGAATGTTCTCTCTTTTCTATAGCCATTGGTTTAAAAAGGATACCAATAGTATCTTGTAGGAGAGATGTAATGTAATTTTTGTCAATACTAAACCTAAATCATACCAAGAGCATATGGTTATAAACGTAAGCAGGGAATTTTCCTCTCATGTTAGAAAACAACTTTTTTTTTTTTATTTTCGATAGTATTACAATAGCCCTTTTCTTGAATACTCATCCCTATTTTTTTTATCTTTTTTAATCATGTTTTTTTATCTTTTTTTAAAGATTTTTGAAAAAACATTTTTTGAACATGAAATTCAATATGTATTTTTAACACTTTGTCAAAAGTGCATCCATCATGAATTTATGGAAAGAGATACTATTTGTTGAGAGCCATGTTACCCAAGATGCGTTTCTTAGGTATTTTGTAGGAAACATTGATAGATATGATGTTATAGGAGTACAACTTAAATTTTTTTTCCAAGAAAATCAAAGAAAAGAGATAAATAAAAAAGATTAATATACATATAGACAGAAGTGATTTATACCAATCTGTAATTCTTTTCTCATATTACAATATGGTCAGATATAGAATGATGTAAAAAAAAATCATCAGATTTATCAATTAAGAGTTATTATCAGGAATTTGCCTGCATGCAGTTCTCCAACCAGAATAATTCACCTCACACCAAACACAGTTAGGACATTGCCTCAGACTATTTCAGGAACCACAGCTTTGCCTACATCAGAGCTCTCAGTTATTGCTGCTATAGTCTTCAAGAAGAACTTATAATGGTTGATCTTGCTACACTCTATACTATATTGGACCATCAGCCATGTTTACTGTTGAAATACTCTACTATATTGGACCATCAGTCATGGTTACTGTAGCTGTAATTCTCTAAAATGTTGGACCATTACCCTTGGTTACTGTTGCTATCCACTATACTGGATCATTACCCTTGGTTACTGTTGCTGTAACCCTCTACTATATAGACCCATTACCCTTGGTTACTGTTTCTATAACCCTGTACTATATTTGAAATGATTACCCTTGGTTACTTTGTTGTAACCCTCTACTTTATGGAACCATTACCCTTGAATAATTTGCTGTAACCCTCTACTTTATAGAACCATTACCCTTGGTTACTTTGCTGTAACCCTTTCCTATATAGAACTATTACCCTTGGTTACTTTGCTGTAACCCTCTACTTTATAGAACCATTAACCTTGGTTACTTTGCTGTAACCCTCTACTTAATAGAACCATTACCCTTGGTTACTTTGCTGTAACCCTTTACTATATAGAACCATTACCCTTGGTTACTTTGCTGTAACCCCCTACTTTATAGAACCATTACCCTTGGTTACTTTGCTGTAACCCTCTACTATATAGAACCATTTCCCTTGGTTACTTTGCTGTAACCCTCTACTATATAGAACCATTACCCTTGGTTACTTTGCTGTAACCCTTTACTATATAGAACCATTTCCCTTGGTTACTTTGCTGTAACCCTCTACTTTATAGAACCATTACCCTTGGTTACTTTGCTGTAACCCTCTACTTTATAGAACCATTACCCTTGGTGACTTTGCTGTAACCCCCTACTTTATAGAACCATTACCCTTGGTTACTTTGCTGTAACCCTCTACTTTATAGAACCATTACCCTTGGTTACTTTGCTGTAACCCCCTACTTTATAGAACCATTACCCTTGGTTACTTTGCTGTAACCCTCTACTATATGGAACCATTTCCCTTGGTTACTTTGCTGTAACCCTCTACTTTATAGAACCATTACCCTTGGTTACTTTGCTGTAACCCTCTACTTTATAGAACCATTACCCTTGGTTACTTTGCTGTAACCCTTTACTATATAGAACCATTACCCTTGGTTACTTTGCTGTAACCCTTTACTATATTACAACCATCACCTTTGGTTACTGTTGCTGTTTCTACTACTACTCTCCCCTAACATTTTGCCTGTTGATTTATTGTTTGTTTTAAAGTACAAGGTTCCACATTTTCTGGGCATTGCTTTTCCTCTGTTATCTTGATTGTATCTAAACAATAGCACAAGGTGTCTGATATTCCACATTCATTGGTTTGAGACATGATATGTTATCAACAGCCAAGGTTTCAAAAATCCTTTCTCTAATTTAGACAGATCAGATTGTCCTGCCATTTGGTTGTCTATGATGAGAAACCTATCATTACAGTTTTTGAAATTTCATCTATTTTCTAAACATGGAATCTGTGAAATGATATAGTGGAACATACACATATTGTTTGTATTGTTTTTTCAGTCATGTATCTTTCTTTTCTCGTATTGTGGAATCAAAGCTGTTTTTCCTTCTTCTGTTATATAAATGAAGACTTATTAGTACTAGTTCAGGTGGGATTTAGTTTAATGCTATATTGTATCCAAACCTGCCAATAGATTTAAAGTTGTCGCCAGTATTGACAGTAGGGTTATATAAACATGCTGGTTAGGTCGAGGAAATGCTTTGTGTGTGCTGATGTTTTGTATTATACTGCATACTGCCGCTACAGTTTTTGTCCCTGTAATGTCGCAATGTCTGACAAAGAAATTGGTTCTTTGTCAAGGATGGATTGATTTTGTTTTCCTTCAAATTAAATCAAAGGTACCAAGGTGCGGTATTTCTAGGTCTCAGCCAGCAGGTGCTGTCCTTGGTTCAGTCCCACTGTAACATGTCTGCCTGTTGTTTAACTAAATCTTATTTATGCCCTTTTTACAGGCCTAATCCGAGATGGTATACAAATGAGTAGATCAGGTATACAGCATTAACTACTGCATGTAGGCATGCTTTTGTAGATCAGAAAATGATATCGTGTTCTAGAAATCATCATTCAGCTGTATGTATAGAATCTTGTATTCTTTTAAAAAATAATTACCAAGTTTTAAAAACATTTCTTAAACATAAGTTTTGAAATAAAGGAATGTAATTTTTAATGAGGACTTTTTAAATAGGATTTTGGTATGAAGATTGATATACTTTTAAACTGAATATGAAAATCTTTCAATCATTCATTCAGTTAGAATTTTGTTAATAGCTAGACAAGCAGTTTGATTTTTGATTGGAAGCTACATTTTAGATTAGTTTTTTTTTTCAAATCATGTAGATATGTAGTTTTAAAACTTTGACACAGATTTAGATTTTGTGGAAATTATATAGATTGCTTGATCCAATGCTAATGTTTTTTTTTACTTATTTTTACATTAGTTTTATAAACATTTTTATAAATTTTCAATTTTTCTAGTCAGAGAAGTGTTTTTTTCCAATATCATGTATTGGTCTTGTGTCCGTTTGTTTCAGTACGTGGCTATATCTGTAATATGTAATACATACTGAGATTTTTTTTTTCTTACAAATCTTTTTGATGTGCAGTCTTTGCTTGAACTTTTAACTCAATTTCAACATATATGATTAAGAATGCAAATGAATATTCTTGAAATGTTGTGTATAATGGTCTATCTATAGAACCTTTAAGACTTTATCTCAGTAGTAATTTTATCAATCATGGTTGTTATTTTATGATTTTCATGGTTCATTGAAAGTTATCATAGTTTAGTCAAGCTGTTTAAGTTTTAAATGTTGGAAATTGTTTATATTTAAACGAAATAGGTTTGATTAGTTTCGATGTAACTTTAACGTGTACTCAGTATAGACAATTCTTGGTTCCAATTATACCTAAGATAGTTGTTAGTTTTGAAATTGTTTCAAAATTTTAAAAGCTTTCATAAAATTCTGATAAAAAATCCGATCAACATTTTGTTGGGGAATTTAAATTATGTACCAAAGGTAATCAGCTACTGATTCTCTAAAAAGCAAAAGTTTTATTTCCCTTCAAAATTGTTGACAAGAAACTTTTAAAATCATCAGAAATATGTCGCCTGGAGTGTTACCATGGACACTGTATGAACCAGAAATGTCTATGCGACGAGGGTTGGGGCGGAGCCCTCTGCGACCAGCTTAGTTGTGATGCTCGCTGTGACGGACTGCGCGGTATCTGTGACAATGGAACATGCATCTGTCGGAAAGGATGGAACGGAGATCACTGCACACTAGGTACTGCTGCACTTGTATCGGAAATCATTCTATCAGCATGACTCTTAATTAATCGGTCTTTGGGTCAACAATTTCATGTATTTATAAGGGGTTATATGATAGTCTAAACCTTTTTTCACTTTAGTCAGCATATGACTTAAAAGCAATCAGTTGTTTCTATAACTGCACAATTTATACGATTTGAAACATTTGCCAGATTAACATCTAAGAATCAATTATTGCTGATGAAATCTAGCATCGTTTCCCTTTCAAGTTTTCAGTTTCGACAAGATGTGAAGAATATTGTTAGAGAATTGCTATTTATACTGTTCCATAACCAGGAATAATTTGTATCGAGATAAGATATTTATACAAATTAAGCATTTCCAGTTTTCACTGTTGTAAAAAGGATCATATTCAGAAATATGCTGTGTGTTGAGTAACATATTATATAGACTGTACTTTAAGCCTGCAGTGTCTCTCAGCCTTCCAGAGTCACCTGTACTTCTGTAATGTTTTTAGGACAATTCTACTGTAACAAAAATAGAAACATGTCACATTTTCTGGTAATCACATTTTAAATAATGTGTCATTGTTAGTTATCATAAGAGAGTTTCGTGTTCAGTAGAAAATTGTTATCAGTGTGAACGCTTCTCATTCTAGTGCTTTTAATGGCAATATATTGGCTCTTGGGCTTTCTTAACAAGCTGATCTGCTAGAAGGCATCTGAAGAGAATATACAATTTCTGCCAGCATTTGTCAATATATATTTATGTATATAGTTGATTACTAAGATTGTAAATGATCAGCTCCCCAAATTTTGATTCCTATTGGTAAGAAACTTGCTTCATTTTACACCTGAATGGTGTAAAACTTATCTCATTTGCCATCAGAACCAGGACATCCCCTCAACAGTAGCTGTACATGCACTGGAATGTCGCAACAACAAATGTTTCATCATAGACTTGCACAAGTTCACAAAATTTCCCTCTTATTACCCTTACATATGTCATGAACTGATTCATGTTTGTTTTTGACTTCATTCAGTTTCTTTCTGAAATTAAATACAATTTGAAAAACTTGTGCAAATCTATTTATATTGTACCACAATTTTGTCCTCGATGGCTTGATATATACCCTGCACCTATATGTGTGTGCTTTTGTCAGCTTCCAACTGCACAGTCCCCATTCCTCCGTTTTGTTTTATTGAATTAAACCTGGTTGCTTCCTTAGAACACATGCAAACCTGTTTTTGTCTGCAGATGGCTGCCCTAACTCCTGCAGTAACCATGGCGACTGTCGCCTTTTCTCCCATGGCTGGATGTGTAGCTGTCATCATGGATGGAAAGGAGAGGCCTGTGCTATCACCATGGAGATGGTTTGTCAGGATGGTGATGACAATGACAGAGGTAGGTCATACATCAAGGTCACAGTATAAGAATCAAGGTCATATAACAATGTACAAATAACCAACAAGGTCACAAATTGTAAGAGTCCAGTTTATGTCAGAGTCATAGTCATCCAGCAATTGTCAATGTCAGTAAGGAAGATGTCTCACAATAATCTACAACTTGTACCACAAACAACAAGTGATGATGTGTAGGACAGTCAACAATATGCGACACAGCAAAACAGCATATACATATCACAGTTGTATCATTAGTATTTTTACAAAGACATGTCATGATACAGTCAAAGTCATTCATGTACAGTCAAGGTCATTCATGTACGGTCAAGGTCATTCATGTACAGTCAAGGTCATTCATGTATTGATACAACAGACTGGTAAAGTCATACATGCAGTTATACATCACACATTCAAGGTCATACTTGTAGTAGTGTATGATATATATTCAAGGTCATCTTCCCACCTTTATTTTGTTGTAGATGGCCTGTCTGACTGCTTGGATCCAGATTGTTGTTTAGACTCTGCATGTGAGGATAGTAACTACTGCCAAATGGCACCCGATCCTCTAGATATCCTCCTCCGCAAACAGCCTCCTAGTTCTACTGCCTCCTTTTATGAAAAAATGAGGTTCCTCATTGAAGAAAACAGTGTCCAGATCGACACATCCAGGAATGGTCTTAGTGAAAGGTATTGTTATACAGCTGCTCATTAATGTGAAGGTTTTTACAATGATTTGTTACAAGTTACTTTTGTGAGGCAGACTTCAAAGTTTGTTACCAGTAACAACTGTGAGACAAACTTTAATGCTTGTTACAAATAACACATTGTGAGTCAAACTATAATTATAAATTTGCAAGTCCCACTTTGTTAGGTACTAAAAAGCAAGGTCTAAAAAGTTACATTACAAACAGTGGAAATAGAGGTTGTCTTTCATCCAGATAATCCACATTGTTGTTGTGTAATTCTCTCTTTTATTTGGTTTCTGTTTGAATGCGTTAAATTTAATATTACACTGCTGAAATATTATTGGATGAAATCAGTACAAAGTACAGTCATTGGATATGTAAATAACTTGTGTTTTCTGACAATAGATCTGTGTCTGTTTAAATATAGTAAAATCTTGAAGATTTTGATGTAAATGTCTTCCATAATGTACTTATTGATAAAAACTATAAGTAAATGTTGTATATACACGTCCTTGTAATGAAAAGTTTTAAACCCTGGCTTCAGTATAAGAACACTTAGACTGGACTTAAGTAGGTAATTCCATGATGTTTCCTCTGTAAACCAAACGTGTCAGGTGTAGGGAAATCAGGCTGGAGCAGGTGTGAAAATATTATAGGTATTGATTAACTCAAACAACATGGTAAGTAGGGAGCAAGCTTTGTAATGGATGGCAATTCTAAAACCTCAGAACACAACATTTTTTTCATCAGATACTGCTAAATGTTATAAAAGAATGAAAGTACGTTATCAAAAAATCCATTGTTTTGCCTCCAATCTCAGAAGATAAAAGTGATCAGAGCCTATAACACGAGTTGCCCCCAAATCAATCCCATTTTCCAAGTTATTGATAAAGAGAAATGGAAAATGACACAGAGTGATGACAGGATATCTGAACGTGCTAGCTGTTGAGTATTTGGAGAGATAAACAGCAGCAATGTTTTTGCGATGTTAGTAAAACAAAACCTTATCTATCGGGTACTCAAGTTTTAATAACCTCACTGTGTCATAAGTGTGTTTCATTAATAGCTTTCTATTGGATAGTCAAAGCATTATGATGATGAAACTCCAGCTTTTTTGTAGTCATACTTATCGCTCTAGCAACACCATCAGGGTCATGTAGAAGCTTCAAAGAGGCAATTCATTGATTAATGCATGCCAAACATTCAATGAATTCAGACTGAGTGTGAAACATCATATTTGTACTTAATAAAGCAACATGTAAAATGTTGATTTTTGTTCATTGAATACCACATATTTTGTTCAAACTTAAATTACAGACATTAGTCAAGTTTGATGAGGTTTATTTGGCATAACAGTTATAAAATATCATCATAATAAAGAAATAAATGGCAGAATTTACTGTGCAAGTTTCATCATATTTCCTGAAATTGTGTGCGAAATTTTGCTCTTCATCATCCCTCTGATACCATTACTGAGAGTAACACGATAAGACACTGGTTGATTATCTCCTCCTGTTTCTGTGTACTTCATTTATCAATCCCATCATGCCAGTCACCCCTGGGACATTTACAGCTACACTGATAATCATTGTCTCATCTGTATCATATCACATTGAATTTTCCTGGTTTATTTTCAAATGTTTACAGTCTTGGTCATTTGGAATACATGGAAAGAGACAAATTAAGACTTTGTAATGATAAATTGAAAGGGACAATTTTTTTTTATTTCTGCAATCAGAATTATTTGAAATATCTGAAAGGGACATTTTAAAAATTTGTTGGTTTCAACTGATTAAAAATATGCATTAAAAGAATGATTTTAAAAATCAGCAGCAATATCTTACACAGATTGGAATGGACATTGCATGATTACTTTCTGAACAACTGATCTGAATGATAATTAGTTTCAACATGAGATTTGTAGAAATAAAAAAAGTTAAATCCAATTACACTGTTTAAAATACTTGATTAAGACAAAGAAAAACTACACAATCCATTTGTTGATTTGTTCTTTGAGCCAAGTTACTGTATGTTTTTGTTCATTAGACCTAAAATAAGCTTCACTAAAACTGCTTTTTCCAGCCAAGTTTCCTTGATTCGTGGCCGAGTGATGACTAAAGACTGGACACCTCTCATTGGTGTACGAGTTCATGTGGCACGGCAACCTCTCTATGGGTACACTCTGACACGCAGACGTGGACAGTAAGTAGGGAAACATGTCATTACTTGTTTATGGAAAATCATTGTGCTGTGATTGCTGTCTTGATCATATGTCAATAGCAAATAATGAAATGTTATATTTAATGTACTAACATCAGATGGCTTTGGTAAGCTATAAGTAACTACTGATGTTGATTATGGCAACAATTAGGACAATAGCAAATAACAGGGTACTACTGAGTTGTTATCAAAAGCTATCAACAACAGGATTATTTAAAGGACCACTTTGTCCATCAACAACAGTGTCATTACTTGGTCCATCAGCAAAAGTATCACTAAAATGCTCACTTGGTCCTCCGAAATGGTCCAAGTGAGTCTCAAATCAGTGGTTTTTCGTTGTTGGAAGTTTGTTACCATAACAACACAGTCTAGGTGCCAATGGCAATAGCAGCAAAAGACAATGTATCCTAGACCATCACAGAAAAATCAGGAATTTCTTGAATCAAAGAAACATTGCAGCATTTTCAAATGAATGAAACATTGTAGCAAAATCGGGAACATTTTCAAATGAATGAAACATCGCAGCAAAATCGGGAACATTCTCAAATGAATGAAACATTGTAGCAAAATCGGGAACATTCTCAAATGAATGAAACATCGCAGCAAATTTGGGAACATTTTCAAATGAATGAAACATCGCAGCAAAATCGGGAACATTCTCAAATGAATAAAACATCGCAGCAAATTTGGGAACATTTTCAAATGAATGAAACATTGCAGCAACATTGGGAACATTCTCAAATGAATGAAACATCGCAGCAAATTTGGGAACATTTTCAAATGAATGAAACATTGCAGCAACATTGGGAACATTCTCAAATGAATGAAACATCACAGCAAATTTGGGAACATTTTCAAATGAATGAAACATTGTAGCAACATTGGGAACATTTTCAAATGAATGAAACATCGCAGCAAATTTGGGAACATTTTCAAATGAATGAAACATTGTAGCAAATTTGGGAACATTCTCAAATGAATGAAACATTGTAGCAACATTGGGAACATTTTCAAATGAATGAAACATTGTAGCAACATTGGGAACATTTTCAAATGAATGAAACATCGCAGCAAATTTGGGAACATTTTCAAATGAATGAAACATTGTAGCAAATTTGGGAACATTTTCAAATGAATGAAACATTGTAGCAACATTGGGAACATTTTCAAATGAATGAAACATTGTAGCAACATTGGGAACATTTTCAAATTAATGAAACATTGTAGCAACATTGGGAACATTTTCAAATGAATGAAACATTGTAGCAACATTGGGAAAATTCTCAAGAGACATTGGAATAGGTCTTATTTTGACGACATTTTACAAAAGTCAATCAGTCAGAAAGAAAAAAGGTATGCATAGGAAGTCTCTTGAGCTTGGTTACTGCTATAAATTCACCAATAAATTGAGAAGTTAAAATTCTGATAGAAAAGTCAATTCTGTACCTGATCTTTTCTTTAAAATTGATCATAGTGATAAGATATTGCTGACACTGGGGGAAAAAATATGATTTTTAGATTGGCAGAATGAACGTCAATTACATGAAATTTGATTGTTGTTAGTGAGAAAGAGATTGATGCCATGGGCTGTAGAGATTGTACAATCTTGCTGGTGGTTAAAGAGTGCATTTCACTGATGCTGCTGCTGATATCGTAGAATTGAATTACCTGATTAAGATTCAACGTCGATATTCTTTGCAAGACTGCTGTGTAGTTTTTGGTTATCACAAAATATAAAAAAATTGTTATTCCGGGTCAATTACATACCGTATTTAATAAAATAATCTCCCACAAATACTCCATACCGGTAATATTCTGATGCATATCCGTACCTCATAGTAAACATGTTTTATTTATGAAGGATTTCCTATACAAAATAAAATGAACATTGCATAGGTGAGGATTTTCTTCCCAACAAAAGAGATATTATTTGTTTTATTTTGTTTTGGAACTTTTGAGTTATAATGATAAATTGCTTCTGGAGATAATTTCATTGTAACAACAAGTAAATTTCTGGACAAGAAATTAAATCGTTCATATTTTGATGAAGTTTGAGACTTGACATTTAAGTTAACATTGTCTGTTGTAGATTTGATATCCTAGTGAATGGTGGTGGGTCAGTGACCTTGGAGTTCACCCGTCAACCATTCCAGTCCCACAGTACAAGTGTCCTGGTGCCCTGGAACCAGATCCTCACACTGAACACCGTCATCATGGTCCAGCAGATGGAAACGAATGTTCCACCGGAGCCGGTAGTCTGCGGTGTCATGCACGATTACTACAACCTCCAGCCTGTCGTTTTGTCCACCTGGCAACATACACAGCTCGGGGCCTGCCCAGAGAAAAGTACCATCATTCCGGAATCACAGGTGAGTGATTTGGATGTGTTTTATTAAATATTTACAAGTCACTTGAGCTGTTAATGTTTGATGTGCTGATACTAACTCAATTACTACCTACAGGTGGTGCAAGAGAGCCTGGTTATACCATCAACCAATGTGCACTTAGTGTACCACAGCAGCGACACCCCTGGATATATGTCTGTCATACTCATCCAGATGACACCCAGTGTGATTCCCCCCAATTTAGCCCTTGTCCACCTCAAGGTATCTGTTCAGGGAATCGACATGGAAAAGACATTCGAGGCTGACCCTGGACTGAAGTATACTTTTTCTTGGGACAGGAAGAATGCTTTCCGACAGGACGTCTATGGAATTGTTCCAGCCAGAGGTGAGATTTGTTTACAAATACAAATTAATGTTTTTCCCAATTTAGGGGGATTGAATAAAAATAATGAGACAGGACAATGGGTACAGGCTATTGATACAAATGTATATCGGTAAAGTTTAACATAATTGCTGTCCAACAATATATAGCATACATTTCTGATACAATCAGGTACTTTCTACATGAAGGTCAACAATATCAACACAAACCTATACGTAAGGTTGTATTAAATCAGTATTATAGAAATTGCTGGAAAAACAATTCGATTAATGAATGAAATATTTGTATGATGGCAACAAACACGAAAAATACTGTAGTCCCAGGAATACAGACGCTTCCACTGCAAGATTTTATTGTCCTTATTTTGCTGAAAAAAGGAAAAAACAATGCACAGAAACCTGAAAATGTTTTCCCAACAAGACGTTAATAACATCAGCAGGCCCCAAGAGAATGGAGAAGCTAGGATCTAGACACAGGGCTGATCTATTGAATTATAGTGATAATTTGTCTATACATCTATAATTCTAAAACATTAGAGATAATGTTTGATACTCATTCTAGCAGAGAATGAATACCTCTTTAATAGATAGTTCTATTCTACTGAACTTTCACTTACTGATAATTCAAAACAGGGATAATTTGTGTAATATAAAAAAAACTCTGTAGGGAGCCCCTGGCAACCAGTGACAGGAAATGTACATCACATATCTGCATTCACAACATCTGGTCACAGAAAGACAACTTGGTAAATGATATTGTCTTATCTGCCATGTTAAGACAAGTGTATGGTGTTGCACGACAATGATTTTCAGAACTATAACAATTTGGAGAGATTTCTCCGAGATGAGAGTGTGTATTGGAAAAATGTGAACATTATGTAAAATAATCAATTGAGATTTAAAAAAAAAAAAAAAGAATGTAGACAATTTATGAGCCATGTTAATTACATTCCATTCTTTTTGGCAGCTGGCAGCTTGTCTTAAATATATACCAGCAAAGTAATAAAAGTAATTGATATTGCCCTAGGTATCCCAGTCTGCCAAATATCAAATTGTTTTTGTTTATTAGATAAAAAAAATGGTTCTTTTGGCTTTATTGGACTTCAAAGATGTCAGAAGTTTGCCTAACAGCCAAAGTAATTTGTCAAAATGTTACTTCCAATTTCCCTTATTTATTAAATTTGCATCATGTTGGCCCCAAATTGATAGATACACCACAAATAAACCTCTATAAACAATATGTCTGTTCGAATATGACATGTAATCGAAATTTAATCACGAATATGTTTTCTAGACGATGAAATGTAAGACAGTTATACTTTACCTCAATAAACTCGGAAGATCTCGTCCCAAGACAGGGGGATAAAAAAATGCTGAATTCATGTACTTTTTGAATTTCCTACTACATAAAGGGATTATTTTGGAAAATGTAGCATTAACAGACAATAAATTTTTATGAAGATGTAATGTGATATGAATCTATGAGGTCATGAGTCTACTTATGAACATGGCTTTTATAGATAGGTACATTAATGTTTTAATTTTGTTCCACAGTTCAAGTAGGATATCAGTACAGTGGCTGTAGTTTTGTGTACTGGGAGGTTCGCAGTACAACAATGAGTGGATACGACCTGGCTTCATCACAGATCGGCGGTTGGAACATTGATATCCATCACACCTACAACTTCCAGGAAGGTAAACCAACACATCAAATTCTTCATAAATCCGTTAATTTATATATCCTACAAAAAAATGGGCCAACTTAATGATTCAAAGTTGTGGATGGGCTTATATATTATGGGAAATCTATTTCATAGCAGTATACATGAATGAAATTATTATTTTATATATATATATATTGTCAGATAAATTTCTAATGATAAAAACTCAATGTTATTGGAAAAACCCTTTATATTACACATTCAAAAGGATTATCTCCCTTGTTTCAGGAATTCTTCATAAAGGAGATGGTACAAATATCTACCTCAAAGAAAAGCCCAAGAAATTGGTCAACATCCTTGGTAATGGTCACCGGCGTAAACTTGAATGTGATTCTTGTAACGGACGCGCCCGTGACAACCGCCTGCTAGCCCCTGTATCCTTAGCCAGTGGACGGGATGGAAGTCTGTATGTATGGGACCTTAACTACATCAGGAAGGTCAGCCCGAGTCGATATGACATCGCCAGTATCCTCAAAACCAGGTCAGTTTTAAAGAATTGTGACTTCTTGCTTACTGCTAATTGTATTCAATTTATGCTGATAGCTGATATTAAGCCAGATTGTTGTTGGTTTCTCACATTAGTTCAGACCAAAACTTCTGATGTATAAGAAATGTTTTTGAAAATCATGAACAGCCTTGTGAATTTATTTTGTTTCTTTACATAAAGTACCATCTCAACATCATACAAGCCATACATGACGGTCAGCCCAGTGGATGGTCATTTGTATGTGTCTGACTACATGAATCACCGGGTTATCAAAGTGGCTACCATGGGACCTGTTCGTATCCTCGACAGTAACTATGTGATCATTGCTGGCAATGGAGAGGAATGTATCCCTGGGGCAATAGACAGGTGTGGAGATGGCAAACGTGCAATCAATGCCAGACTTATACATCCTAAAGGTATGTAGATCTCAAAAGGTTGTCTCCCTTCCCCAGGCCTTGAGCAGCATTTTGTAGCAGTTACCTCCCTTCTATTACTTTGTAACATAAAGTGATATAGTCATGGGGTCCTATCAGGAATATTTTACATCATTTCTGAGTAATGAACAATGTTTTATTTGTCTGATTGGTTTATGACTTGGTTAAAAATTATTCCAGTTATCCAATAAAGAAAGTTTAACCTAATTACAGAAAATATTCTTGTCATCTTGTCGTGAATATCTTTATAGAGCCTGTTTATAAGGAACACCCTCTTAAATTGAAAACCTGTTGATAAAAAGCAGGAAGTACCTGTCCATTGATAACAATAAACATTTAATGATTTGATATTACAGGTATTGCCATTAGTAAGGAAGGAGTGATATACATCGCTGACAACCTCAACATCCGCATGGTCACTCCTGATAAAACCATTCATACTCTGATAGGCTCACAGGGACAGCCACGAACCTGGGAACCAATGTCGTGTGAACACAGTCAGCCTGCAGAAGAGGTACGAACAGTTCATAATTATGATAGTAGTTCATTACACAACTTTATTATTACGAACCATAGATGATGATGATGTTTTTAAGTTTTAAAACTTTGATGAAGACAGAAATTAGATTTACAAGATGTAATTAACAAGTTGTCTTTTCTTCATTTCCATTTTAAACTTCCTCATGGATTGATATGTTACTCCTTCAGGGGATTGCTACCTGAATTCTTGCCATTTGAATTTCAATTAGAAAATAAAGAAAGGGGATCAAAATAAAGAGAATGATTAAAATAAGACAATTATTTCTTGAAATACATAAAATCACAATTAGTTGAAAATCATTTAGGATCATGTTAGAGAAACATTAATGACACCAATCTATACATTACAGATCCGACTTCAATGGCCAACAGACCTGGCAATCGACCCTCTGGATGATTCCCTTCACATTCTGGACAAGAACGTTATCCTCAAACTGACAAAAGATGGAAGTTTGATTACTGTTGCTGGACGTCCACTGAACTGTCCGTTCAGAAAATCAAGCTTTTTGCCATCTGGTGTGCTGACGGATCAGGAACAAGCATCAAACATTGCATCAGACATAAAGCTTGTTGATCCTCAGAGCATCGCCTTCGGACCACAGGGAGAAATGTATATCGTAGAGAGTGACCGACACAGTATCAATCGAGTGCGAGTGGTCACTAGCGATGGCCGTATACATCACTTTGCTGGGACAAAATCTAAATGTGACTGTCAGACCATCACTTGCAAGTGTTACGACTCCAAGGAGACGCTTGCAGCTCAGGCGTTGTTCAATGAGCTGACTTCTATTACTGTTACCCCTGATGGAGTTGTACACATCGCAGATGCTGGAAATCTGCGTGTGTTCTCAGTACTTTCAGAACTTCCTGAAGCAGATCAGAACACCAGACAGTATGAAGTTGTCTCACCAGAAACACATGAGGTCTACATTTTCAACAGCTATGGTCAGCATCGTCACACTGTCAATATCATGACTGATCAATATGTGTATAATTTCACTTACAATGTAAACTCATTCTACGGAAAACTGATCTCTATCGACGATGATGTAGGTAACAAGATCAAAATTACCCTTGACCGAGAAACATTGGCCAGGGAGATTATTTCACCTGACACTTCAAGGTGTGACTTGGAAATGAACAACATTCGGAAGCTACACAGTTTCCGTGCCAATAACTGGACAGCCTCTTTCACCTATTCCGAGAGTACAGAGCTTCTCATGTCAAAATACCTATCAGATGGGAAGGCCTACTCATACAGCTACGACAACCGAGGACGCCTTCTGGAGGTCCGGCAACCAACAGGGGAGATAACCACTCTAGCAACGGACGTCAACACCACAGGTTCCATCGTCCGCATCACCACTGATAACAGTGATGCGGTTGCTATGGCTACATATGGCAGTGTGCAGTCAGTTATGCATGGCAAGTTTGCAAATTATAAGCTCATCTTCACATCATGTCAACTCATCTCATTGTAACTCTTGTGTTTCGGGGCAAATTTTGGTCTCTAAAATCTCTATATAAAAGTTTTAATATTCAGAATAAATGCAATTCGTGTAAATATGAACCCATTTATAGATCAAAAATTTTATAACGGACTTTTGTTGGCAGTAGTTTTACAGTTTTACTGTACGGGAGGATTGGAAATAGATCTATGATATTGGGTGTTACTTTTATTTACATAGGTATAAAGTGGGATGGATTCCTATCTTCTTCCTAGAATATAGAGAGTAGAGAAAATTTAGCATTAGACATCAGATATTTATAATTGTATGATCAGAATATGATAAAGATGCAGAAACTTTAAAATTTTAGTGATATATATATATATATATATATAAATCCAATCACAGAAGATGTGGGGCGATCATCTCGCATGCATTTAGTGTCTTTACACATACACATTTAGCCATCACCAATAATGTGTGTCCAGTCATCAGAGTTTTTATCATAAAGAGACCAATTTATTCCAGACAATGATACCGTATATGTCCTAGAGAGCAGCCTTAGTTCTGAAATATCATCAGCAATAAACATGCTGTTTCTGAATTTTTCAATGTTTATCTATGTCCCATTTTGATGTAAGGATTTCTTTATGTCATATTTTACATGAAAGTCTCATTGTCTTGATTAAAATGTAGATGAATACAGTCTGAAAGATCTTTGAAAAGTAGGAAGAATAAAGGCCAAATATAGAAGTGGCACAGGGTGCAGTGCTAAATGTGTTTAATCATTCTGAGTGGTGTAAAGTTTTTGTTCAACTGTTTCAGGAACCCAACTGACACCACACAAAAAGTTTATTTTGAAGTTTTTATTGACAACAGTTCCATGTTCTTTCAGAAACAAGCCTAGTACCATAAATTCATAAATTTCCAGTCAGAAATAAGCCCACCTTCATTTTACTCCTTTTCTGGGTAATATACCTCCTCAATTTAGTCGGTCCTCTTCTAAATAAGCCCAAAATCATTTTGCTTTGACATCTTCTGAATGATAAACCTCCTGGATTGAGTCAACTCTCTCAGAAATAAGCCACAATCATTTAACTCCTTTAAAAAAAAGTGAGGAATTAGCAACTTAGACCTGCTTCATAAAATTACAGTTTCCCTTGAAGGTTTATCAAGACCTGCCACATAAAATTACAGTTTCCCTTACCAAGACCTGCCACATAAAATTACAGTTTCCCTTGAAGGTTTACCAAGACCTGCCACATAAAAGTACAGTTTCCCTTGAAGGTTTACCAAGACCTGCCTCATAAAAGTACAGTTTCCCTTGAAGGTTTACCAAGACCTGCCTCATAAAAGTACAGTTTCCCTTGAAGGTTTACCAAGACCTGCCACATAAAAGTACAGTTTCCCTTGAAGGTTTACTATGTTAGGTGTTATCGATACCATCACACAGAAGGAATGGTAGTCGTTAAGATCATCAGTGGAACTTACACAACAAAAAATACATTTCTGCTGAACTCTGATTTAGATTTGTCGTGTGGAGGATTACTTGTTTGTGTTTACTTTTTTCAGTTATGACAGAATCTGGTAATCCTTTTATTTAAAGTAGATTTCTCGCTCTATATATAGATGCGTAGATATGCTAGGGACTTGTAGATATCTTTTTTTTCTTTGAACTTTATATAATTCGATGCTTCTAAATCTCCTTCTGCTGGAACTCTGACAGCTTCAACAGTCAACCACGAATTAAATATAATGTTTTTCTGAAGCCGTCTTAACAATGGAAGTGAGGATATTGAATAGATTGGAATTTCCAATCTACTTGACGTAGATCGTGATTTAATTCAAACATAAATGCTTTTCTATCACAAATAAAAATCTTCTATTTATATATAACATCCACTGTCTAAGGCTGATGATGATAAAATAAGAGGATTTAAAGTCATGTTTGAATTACTTGAAAATTATTTGTAGTATTGATGATTGATGAATGGTGGTTTGCAGTGACTAGTTCATAGGTGTTGTGTTTACCAATCAGATTCATTGTCATAATGATTCATTGACATATCAGAATCATTGTTCTAGTGATGTATTGACTAATAAGATTAATTGTTCTAGTGATGAATTGACCAATCAAATTCATTGTACTAGTAATGATTTGACCAATCAGATTCATTCTTTAAGTGTTACATTGACCAATCAGATATTTGTTCTAGTGATACTCTTACCAATCAGATTTATTATGTTATTGATGCATTGATCAATCATATTTCTTGTCTTATTGTTACCATAGTACATCATTTCAAGATAAGTGATCCAAATTAAAATTGAAAATCATTCATTATGTCACAATTTCCACCTGGTATAGGACATACTGATCTAACCTCTTTGATTTTAAGTACTGAGTGCCTATGCTTGGCTTACTGTAGCATCTCACTATATTTCTTATTTTCAATTAAGCTTCTTTCAGCCTTTTTACAATGATCTTTTAGACAATAAACCTAAGTGAATCAAATTGTTGATCTCTCTATCATCAAAAGGAAACTCTTAATGATAAAGATGAAACATTGTAGAAATGTAGAACTCATTCATAGGTGTTTAATTCTGGAATAACAACAGTGAAATTTACATACAGCTTACTGTTGGTTTCTATTTCTTTACCGTTACTACTATATTGTATAGACAACGGTATATCAGCAATGATCAGACATCCGTTGTCTAATTACTGAAATGAAATAGCTGAAGAATTATCCATTTTTTTCTCAGACTCAAAAAAGAGTCTTTGACAACCAATTTCTAGATGAAAAGTTTCGTTGTATTTCGGCTGATGTTGTTATTCATTTCTGTTTATTATTTTATGAATTAATTTTTTACACACACAGCTTTTCTACACAACTCACACTGGTTTTCATACTGAGGCTGCAGGCCAAGCTACATTTTATATATATTTATATATTCATAATATTTTTATTTATTCTTTTGATGGGCATAACAATTCAACGATATATAATTATGATGTTGTACGTGTTAAACTCACTGTTGATGCGGGTTTGATAATGCACTCTAGTGTTGGTACAATGGAACAGATCCTAACTCGCTACTGATTATTAACTGCTTTTGGAATGTGGCTATATATGATTATGTATTGCTGTTTTTTGAGAGTGGGAATTTGGCATGATTTAAGATAACATTTAACAAATGATTTGGATACTGAATGTCACTCTGATAGATTCTCACATTCAATAGTTCTATATTGTGATAATAAGTTATTGGCATTTTATTATCTTTTGCATTTGGATATATTTTTTACACCCGTAAACTTCAGTTTAGTTATACATATAAATTTTCAGAGTCTAATTTCTGATCGCAAGCTAACCTGCTTTTTGATGGTGGGCTCGATTGTTGTACATTAAATAATGTTTGTTTTTTTTTCTATAACCTTGAAAGTCTGACATGTTTATTTGGTATGACCTTGAGTTTGATGCTTTGTTTCTCTGCTTATTTGTGTTACTTTCTCTCAATTCTTAACTCATTCTTCTTCTGTCTTCATAAAGCTTAAATTTTGAGTCGCTTTTTTAATGGCTTAGTTTGACTTGTTTTTGTTTACGAATATCCCGTTTGAGTTTGAACTGCCTGAGTAGCCATACTTAGTAGGGTTTTACAAACATAGAGATAGGTTATTTGTATATGTATATTTATATATATGTCATGAAGTGCTCTCAAGGTTTTTGAAACTAATATCTCTTTTGATTTGACTCTACAGGAAATGCAGAAACCAAGGTTACATATTTACCAGATGGCGCTGTGGTGGTTGTGTTCCCTAGCAACCTGTCCATCTCCATAGAGTCAGGCGGTCATCCAATACTAGCCAATGAATACAGAATGCATTTCAAACGAAAAGTCATTGCACCTAATAAACTTGTACATAAGCTTGAGTGGCGTTACTATCTGCGGCGCAAAGGTCGCACAAGGCAAAGTAAGGTGATCGAAAGGATCGGGCATCGTATGAGGGTAGGAGCTCCTTTCTCCTCAAGGCATGCCAGAATGCATGACTCGCATGATGGAGATGAAGGATCATACAAAGGAAAAGCCCTTCTGGTATGTCCATTGTGCCCTTAATAATTACATGTCTCTGCCCCCAAAGCCTGCAGTGCCTGCCAATCATTCGTGGCTCATCGCTAAGCCCTGCCCCATATATATACATGTAGTGTATGTAACAATATAATTGCGTGACAGTTCTGATATATCACTTAGCTTTAGAATCATAAAGGTACATATCCGCCGTTTTATTATTTAATTTTTTTCTTTTTTCAAAGTACCTCTGGAAAGAATTATTATTCGTCCATGTTCTGATATGGAACAAATTTTTACCCAACTGTATTCAGTTTCATTCAATTTGTGATCTCTCAAAATCTGAGGTTTGTTAAGTCAAAGTCTGACAACTAGATTATATAAACTAAATAAATATGAGTAGTATAATGGTAATTCACAATATATAGTTATTTTCATAGATCCTTGGTAAATTAGAAGTAATTAAAGATGATACCTTAAAAATGTTCATGTTCATGCAATGTAAAGCCTTATTACTGAATCGGATCCCTGATATTAAGCACTGCAGCAGGGCAACTAGAGTAACCTCCCTTTGACAACTTTGGAGTGATGTGGACTGACAGTTGGCATGGAAACATTTTCTTTCTTTTATCTTAATCAATTTTCAGTTACTTTAATTGTCAGTTCAATTATTTGTAGGATTTGAAAATTTCATTATACATATATATATTTTTTTTTTTTTTTATGTAGAAAACATTTTTATATGATCGCATGTTTAATTTTTCATAAAAATTTTATCATTATTCATTATAATTAATGTGATACATTATTGTACCCATAACGATGTTATGATTTATTTTAACTGCAAAAAAAATTTAATTAATAAATGCCTTTGTTCCTCTGTCTCAGTAATTGATGCATTTATTATAATACTACTAGCATGATAGGAGTACGTAGCGCTTTTCTTCCCGTCGATATACGCTTCCATATGTAGAGCCAGTTATCTCCCCTTTGCCTTGTACTACATCAGTGAAAAGTGGCAAAATAAATCCTGCTTGTCGGTCAAAAATGCATGCTCAATTTTGACTTCTGGACATTAATCTCTTAACTTTTTTCTTTTTTTAATTCTTCATTACTTACATCGCAATTGGAATAGCTTCAGTTGACAATGAGAAAAAAATATAAGATTTGGATAATGATACTATATAGAGTTTAAATTTAAATATAGATCATTCATTTAAATGAATAATCATGAATATTAACCTCATTCTCATTATTCTACAAATCATCCTATAATGTTACTGTAAGTTCCAGAATGGGAAGATGGTGCTATTGACAAGGTAACACGTTATATTGATTGGCTCTCTTGAATTTGCATGTCATTATTTTTATAAGTATTCCATGTTTTTGTTAATTGAATTTAATTATAGATCAATGGCGAAAATCTGCTGACAGTTGAATATGATCGGGAAACCCACACGGAAAACATCATGGGGAAAAATCTTGTCAAAATAATGTCGATTTTGTATGATGGATCTGGGCAGCCCACCCACATACGACCAAATAATCGCCATCATGGCATGAATATCACATACAGCAAAGAAGGGCGAATAACTCATTGGCAGTATGGAGAGATACGAGAAGATCTGATATATGATGATGATGGTCTCTTGCGAGAGAAGTCTTCATCCAGTGGGGGTGCTCAGTACAGATTTAGCTACCGTGTTGGAAAAGTGGTAGGTTCTGTGATTGAAATGTGTTAAAATCTTTTCTATGAAATCCTAAATCTGGACATTAATGAACTCTGTAGACATCTAAATTAATATTCTTTCCATGTCTCCAAAGTATGCAATTTCCCCTACAGTCATATATCTACAATATTCCATTTCGTCTGTATAGTGTTTAAAGCATACTTTTTCTATTTTGGCTATTATAACATGTAAACATTTTTTTCCTTTATCTGCATTTGAAATATTCTATTTCATTATCCGCTGTTTATAAGCAAATTCTTCCACAAATCGATACTCCAAGTATTTTGTACTAATGTTGGTACACATACCCAGTGTTCAGTATCATTTTGTAAATTAGAAACTTTAATGCATTGTTATTTCAATTTTCTAGCCGACAGACATTATCTTGCCCAATGGATTGCAGTATATGATGCAGTACGACTCACAGGGATATCTGATACGTGTCCGAACTCCAGGGCTCGGAGAGCATTTCTTCACACGCGTCATGTCAGCAGGGATTCAGAGATTCCTATATCGAGTCCCTGAGCTAGCCTTCCCCTACACGGAAGAGTATGATGGAAATGGAAAGCTACTTCAAATTATCTATCCTAGTGAGAGACGACGAATCATCTACCGATACAACAAATTTGCCCAGCTGAATAAAATCATGTTCGATGAGACAGAAATTAACATGGAGTATGACCCACAAGTTTCAAAGGTCTCAGCTTCTGAGGTACTCAGTGGACCGTATGATTGTCGTGAGAGTTACTCGTATACTGCTTCTCTTGTCAAAGACTATACTGTAGAATTCGCAAGAGATCGGCGCCTACTCGGAGTGAAATTTTCATATACCTACGATAAGAACTTTAGATTGAAAACAATCAATGGACATTTCCGTGAGAATTTGACAAGTGATTCTGACATGTCATACGATGAGGAAACTGGTAAACTCCGAACGCTGAAATCCCTTTCTATGAACTGGCCTTTGTTTGACATAGAAAAGATATCTGGCAACAATGTGACGTTTAATCGTGAGTACGACAGCTATGGCCGATTGTCTAGTGTTGTCTATAGATTCGGAGAACAGGAACACTTCTCTCTACAGATCGGGTATGACCTTGAGAACCGTATCCATCACTGGAACTGTCTGATTGCACAGGCTACAACCAGGAACTTACAATATGTATACGATATTAACGGCAATGTGATTGATGTACTCTTGAATGGCCAGCCAACATGGCGTTATGGATATGACAACAATGGGAACATAAACAAGATCACAGAGTATGGACGAACCAGAAACCTGGAATATGACATTGGTGATCGAATTTCAAAATCTGGCTCAAAACGTTTCCGATTTGATAAAGATGGTTTCATGGTACAGCGACATGATCAACATGTTGGGTTTAATTCAAACGGTCAGTTGATATCAGTTTTCAAGATGGGAGAGTACCGTTACTTCTATTTCTATGATGCCCAGGGTAGATTAGTCATTGAGGAAGATGGAAGTGGTAATGTTAATCAATTTTATTACGGTGATGTCACCCAACCGCAAAGAGTAACACATACCTTCAACCAGAGTTCTGGGGACCTGACTCAGTATCTGTATGATTCAAAGGGGCAGTTACTGGCCTTGGAGCGTCAAAACACACTCTATTACATCGCAACAGATCCAATGGGAACTCCGTTGGCTGTCCTCAACACTCATGGACTCATAGTAAAACAACGTAGGTATGACCCACTTGGACAACTGGAGTCGGACACAAATCCAAACTTTGACGTTTGTTTTGGATTCCAGGGGGGTTTATATAACCCTATGACACAGCTTGTTCTGTTTGGAAAGCGGGTGTATGATACAGAAAATGGACATTGGATCTCACCCGATTATTCCAGCCTGCTGAGAGACTTGAATAAGATTCCAGCTTCACCTATGATCACCAATAACTACCAGTATCACTACCCAATAAACATCCACACTCGTCAGAAGAAGTTCCCTATGCTTGGTAAGGCATTCTTTATATCAGCTATTTTTATTGTGCCAGGTGGTTTAGCTTTCAACAACATTTTAATATCAAATTGAATTAATACTGTGAAATACTGTACTTGGATGAAAGTCAATTAATGTGTTTTCTGTGCTTCAAATTTTCATTGATTTGCTAAAAACAAGCATAAAGGAGTTTTTGAAGCCATGAAATAGACAATGGTTTAATATGGTTATTGGATTTTACTAATTGTTTAAAATTTTATCTTCCTTGAAAAAACAACAGAAAAATAGAATCCATAAATTGTACAGAATTCATTATTAAAAATAGATATCCGTCACCAGACACACAAGATGGATACTTTTTTTCTGAAGTTACTTTATGTTGTGTCCCAGGGAAGGATACTGCAGTCACAAAATTTGGGAAATTAACAAAGGTCATGACCTTTATGCAAATAATCATTCAACAAAACTGCTAACGTTTTATGTATCCCTGTGCTTTGTGTTATGATCATGTTTTCAGATATATATATATTAATTTTGATTGTTTATTTGCCAAGGTAGTTTCACAGCCTCGTTTGGATGTTCTTATCAATTGCATTCATTACTAAATTATAGGAAATGATGTTCAACATTGTTATTGTGAATTATTGTGTATTCATTTCAAAGCATAAAACTTGAGAATTCCTCAGTGTGTGCATCATATGTCAGCTCATGGAATAATATCTCTGTAATGATGGCAGATAGAAATTGTAAATAAAATCAGATAAAAAATGTAAATCTACGACATTTTAAGTCAGTTGAAAGTTTTTACATATATAACAATTGTTTCAGAAAATTGACTTATCAATCTCTTCCTGTTGTAGCCATCACAGACTGGCTTCTGATGCTGGGATATGACTTGCGGAGTCTTGCACCAGATATATCCTACACGGGAGATATTCGTCCAGAATCACATGATGCTAGCCGCCGTCTTCTGCCCATGTCTTCTGCTTTCGAGTGTACATTCCTACGAGACATGGACAGTCTACTCACAATGACCACTGTTCCTAAGTCCAAAGTTTCTCCATTGCTTGGTCACTTCGACCTTCAGCCAACCCCTAGACCCTTTATGCTTGGATCAAAAGTGACCTTGTCATTTGTGAAGGGCAAAGCTGTGATTCATATGGCCAAAAACACGCCAAAATGGGCTAAACAACTGGCCGAGGTTTTGGTGAATGGGTCAGAGGTCGTAGACCTTAGATACAGTATCCATGGTAAAGATATTCACTACTTTATAAAGACGGACGCCTCCAGAGCAGAGGAGGACCTGCGATCGCTTGATATACACAGCACGTTTGTGCAGTATGAGAATTCCATGAACATCACTGTGAACCGGATACAGCACAGTGAACGTTTCAGACTTAGTCCACATGCAGAGGTGGACATTCGTATCCACGGGGTGGACTCTGTGATAAATATTCGATATGGGACAACATTTGAGAGAGAACGCCAGAGGATTCTTAGCCATGCTAAAGAGCGTGCTGTTTTACATGCATGGGAGAGGGAAAAGTGGGTGTTACAAAATGGGCTGACCACACAATATCGGTGGTCAGACATGGAGAGACAACAGATACTGACCAGCGGCTATGCCGATGGATATGAGGGTCATTACATACGTAGTCCAGAATATTTCCCTGAACTATCCGACGACTGCAATAATATAAGATTTACAAAGAGCAGTAGGTAGCGCACATAGTCTGTCATATACCATCTCTACCATAATGGCTCATCGCTCTAATGATAATAGTACTTACTTTATTGAACAAGATTTTATTTTTTTTATTTTTTTTTTCTTTGAGAAAGAAATCAAATGTGTCCCCGTGTATTAATTAATGTGTTCATGCACAACACGTGAGGATCCCTGGAATCATCGTGTTTAGTTTGGTGCTTACCTGTGCTGCACAAAGCATGATGATGATGTGCTAGTGCTGAAATAGTGTTATGTTGCTCAGTGTTGTACAAGATGTCTGAGAAAGATTTTAAATTGTGATTCAAAAACTGTTCTTTTAACTAAACTTTACAGTATGTTGAAAGCTTGAATACCTACAGAATGTGATTCAAGTGTTTCGTTCACCTGTAACTACAGCCACGATAGGCAGAAGTCTTCAGATCATGTAAATAGGCAATGCTAAAACTAGAGTGGTAAAGCCCATACCATTCAAGAGTAACAGGAACCTGAATCATGAAATAACAAGGTGAATGGAATGCTTGAAATTGTTGGAGATACTAGATAATTACTGCTGAACTATGGCCTAGCATGATGAAGGAATATTCAAGTCGGTGGATATGTTGCATTACAGAGGTCAAGGCCTTTAGTGGTCATGGTAAAGTGTTGCCATACTAGTCATACGAGAATCAAAAATAAAAAGTACACTTAATTTAAATGTTAAAAATTGATTTGCTTCTGTCCTGTCCTAGGAACCCTTGACTGACAGGGATATCTCCAGTGATGGGGGGCTCCTGTCTGACATGGATATCTCCTGTGATGGGGAACCCCTGTCTGGCAGGGATATCTCCAGTAATGGGAAACCCCTGTCTGACAGGGATATCTCCAGTGATTGGGAACCCCTGTCTGACAGGGATACCTCCAGTGATGGGAAACCCCTGTCTGACAGGGATATCTCCAGTGTCGGGGAAACCCTGTCTTACAGGGATGACCTCTTGTGATAGGACAATAAAATCTGTACATAATGTATCATAAGAAATTAAGATGTTGGTAAAACAAAGTATAAACTAGACCTAAGATACTTCTAGTTGATTTGTGACAATGCCATTCCAATGTTGTCAGCCATCTTTGTTTTGACCCTCGTACGTTCATTATTCATTGCAACTGCTTTTTTGTCAGCTCTGATGTTTTATCCCATTGTGATGTATGTGTTTATTTAAAATCTCAAACTCTGTAACCTTGTATTACGAGCATTTGCAATATGTTGCATCAGTCTCGTGTTAATGCATAGCATATGCCAAATTTGTTATTGAAATATCGCAATATCTTCATAACAGTAGTTCAGTTAATGTATTTTTTTTCTCATTTCTCAAGAACAGCATTATTTAACTTTTTAAAATCTTTCAATGAAAGTCATTCCGAAATAAATTTTTTTCTCTTAAATTATCAATATTTCATTTTAGAATCTTAGAGCACAAGTGAAATTGAGAACATTTTTAAAAAAAATAGGTTTAAAGCACATCTTTCAGTTGAAGTTTAAAAAGAGTCTTTAATGACAAACTAAAAATAACTCCATATAGGAAAATTTCAAATCATTTCAAATGAAATAAAGATGGTTTGTTCTCTATCTGAATGTTACACAATCAGTATGTCGTTAATTTCACAAGAGCTATGTTGAATTTTGGATTTCATTCGAGCATTTCAATTTCAATCCGCAGTCCCTGAAATTAGAAAGTGGAAATCAAGTTCATTGGTAGGTAACAGAGAGTGTAATAAGGTCTGATGTTGCTTTTATTGAGGACTGCAATGTATACAAGTACTCTAATCGTCCATGACACACTCATTAATCTATTGATATAATTTGTGACATATCACTTATAGAATTACTTGTAAGTCAATCTGCATTATTATAAATATCTCATTTTCATTGTGCCAAACATTAGCATACTGTGCAGTTGCTCATTTTCACACACATTTTGATTTCGCAAATTTCACAGCCAGAATTACAAACCACGAGAGACAGAATGTTATAAAGTATTGAGAGATTTCTCTGCCTTCATCAATAATTACAATACCAAAATTTGCTAACTTTTATAGCCATGAAAAAGAGTGGCTGCACAGTAGCCAGAGTTCGTTATAAGTCTTCAGTTCAGTCATATAAACATTGGTGTTCATTATAATGTAGGCTGTATATTGACCAGCCAATTCTTTGGTGTTTTGCTGAACATGAAACTAGTCCCAAAATGTGTCATGTATATGGTGTAAATATATGACAGAATTGTTACCATAGCAATATTGTGCTGTGGTGGTTGTTTACATGTGGGTCGGACTTGTACATGTAACATGTATGCATGTATTGTATTTTTGGACAGTTGTGTAGGTCTGATTACAAATCTTTTGTTGGTGTGCTAGATATTTCAATTTGTGCTTTCCTATGATACAAAGAGAAGAAGAAAAGATCTTAAACCTCAAAGCAAAACACAATTATCAAAAAAATATATTTTGATGATTCTTTTTTATTATTATTTTTTTCTTGTTGTCCTCAAATCAATATTCCTTGCAAAAATACAAATATGACAAATGTTAAATGTAATACAATGTTTCATTTTTCTTGATAATTTAGAAAAGACAAATATATCAAAGAATTTTTTCAATTAATTTTCCATAAACATACCCATTCTCAATGCTCCAGTTATTGAACCATTTAACTTGTATTTAGCTCTAATCAAATGACTGCTTACAGGCATAGTTCATCAGTATATAGAATAATCAGTTTAAACATTTCAACATAGGAAAACTGAGAAAATTTTGACTTTGTGTACCAGATGTCACAATTGATGTTCTCCAACGACTATCACCACACATTGATCAGGATTTATCATGTAGCAGATATTAACTTGTTTATATTAAATCATATTGATTAAAACATTCATGATGTTTAAGATATTCATGTATCCACTTGTAAGCTCCGTGAAGCATAAAATTTGAATCATTGAAGCATAACAATATTATACGATGATAATTATGTAGTGCTGTTTTAGTGTTTTACATTTTTTTTTTTAACTTTCTGTTTTAATTTATTTTTATAATGTGATCTTTGAATACCTTTGTGTACCAGGGGTTGTAGAACTATAAGATAGTACTGTCACTCTCTCTGGTTTGGTTACAGTGTGTTCAGCCATTGTTAACTGTTGTAGGAAACATTTCTTGTATGCATTAAGTTCTGATTTATATGCAGCCCATTGGAATGTGAAGTTAATGACAAATGATATTTGGTATATCAATACTTGCTTTATTTCAGTTTTTTTCTGCTGTCCTTGTTTCCAGTGATCAACTGACTTGGCTATTTGATATTGAGCCAAAAAAAAAAATTTTTTTTTTTTAAAAAACCCAAAAATACTGATCAGGGTTATTTATTTAATTCAATGTGAATTTGAATTTTCATTTTGAAATCTAGTCAAACTGAGTGCACAAATGTAAATTCATCTCATTTTGCATCCTTTTGATAAATTATAGTATATATTGATCCGTGAAGAAGTTCAGTAATTGTTATGAGTTAGAAGGTATAATAATTTTGTACTTAACGTGGATGGACAGCTCGGTTTCATTACAACTATCATTTAATCAAGAATCATCTTGCAAAATCATACATGAAGAAAAATGAAGAAATTGTCACTGTAATTTTGTAGTAATCAGTCACTACTGGGAACAAGGGGCAGCAGGTTGATAAATGGACATACCTTTTCTTGTAACAGTATTAAATTCCTACCTATATGTCGTATAACAGAGCACCTGCTAACAATATCACTAAATGTTCTTGTCTTATCAACATGCCTCCAACAAAGCTGATAACTGAAGGGTAAAGAAAACATAGTATACCTCTATATATGTTGTAGATGGCATTTAATGGCTATATTTTATTTAGATTTTTAAAAAATAGGGTAAAGGGATACTTCTGATTTTTGAGAAGGGAGGTAACTCCCAAAGAGAAAGGGGATTCCATATGAGGTGTGAAAGTAGATGAAACATGTTTTTAGCTCATTCTTAATTTCATTATAGATGACAGCTTCAGTGGTGGTCAGGTGTTTTTCTGTTTATCATTGGTGCCATAATATATTTTTTACAGATACTAAATCTAGTTTTTGTAGATACATGTCCAGCAACTTTTTGTACAAGGATCTTATTTCAAATCCAAACTACAGGAGCCACTGTGAAAGTCTAATACACTGTTGTAAGGATACAATTTTTAACGCGTTTGAATGCTTTTCCTCTAAACTGGTATGCTGAGTAAAGCACAGATCTTATAACTTTTCTACCTTTGCCTGTTTAAGATGAATTCTGATCATATTGAAAACCAGAAATATTTTCAGTGTCATGCAAAGTAGTTGTAAATTAGAAAAAAGTAAACCTTAAACCATATTTTCAAAGATTTATTTAAACTTAGCCAATGTATTGCAAATTAATGAGAAATATCAAAATACTTGTAATTAGTTATCTATGTGTTTACTTTTCCCTTATTTCTTACATTTTTTTTTTTTTTATTATTTTTTTTTTTAACTTACAGTATATATGCTGCTGTGGCAATGTGGCAAACATTAGTCATGTCTGTTCTACAGACTGACTGCTGTATCTGTATACATACTGGTCGATCCGTGAGAATTGTAGGAGTTCAGGCTATGATACTGGCTGCATGTTAGGTTATCTATATATATCTATATATATATATGCAATTGTGTTTTGGAGGTAGGACATCTGTCCCAGTGTGTATGGTGAGAGTTAGCTGTCTTGTATTGATTTGTCATTCATCTCGTACTAGTAAACAACTTATCAAAAATATCTTTAAACACCATAAATTTTCTATTTAAAATGTAAAGAAGAAAAATAAAACAAAAAATATAATATCATTTCTTTGTTTGTTGTGTACTGTTCATTTTGCCGTGCATTTGTACTCCGCATAAAAAGATGGATAGAATTATTATTGATAATTGAAATTAATTGTAATGAACCAGAAAATCTTAAAATACAACGGAAATTCCTTGGATCCAGCGATTCTGAATGACCAGAATGTATAGCACTGTATTTGCTCCTAGTTTATAGAATAAATTATGGTTTTCAACAGTTGTTCAATACATAACAAACCAGTGTTTGTCCAATATTTTAATGAACAAGAGGCTCCACATATTATTACAGGACAATGCCATCAAATCAGTACATATGAATAAAGATAATGAATATTTGTTCTCAAATACTGACATCGTAGTGTGGACAACATGCATTAAGTCTTGTCCTGGGGCCTGTTTGTTTATGTGTTGCAGATAAACTGGTTTGTCAGCACTTTTTAAGTGTAATATTTCAGGCATACAAATATCAGTACAGGCCTTGAAAGGCTTAGTTCAAGCTCATCAGAAAGTAAAATAGATCTGATCTTATTTCGTAATCACACAATCCTGGTCCAACTGGACAAACAGATAAATGTTACATCATTACAGGACTAATTAGTATTGTATACATGTACATACTTAATTCCGTATTCAAAATCCAAGGCTTCTACTCACTACATAGATTGATTTCTTGCTATGTAACAAACACCTGACCAATTACCAAATGGGCATCTATAAAGACTTAAGGTTCAACAGCTGAATCAAATTAGTGTAAAGTTTACTATTTTGGTTCCTATATTCAAAGAGATGACAGGTATGTATATATGATTCCTGACCATGCAGTTTCCAGAAAAAAAATTGCAAAGATCATCTCCTTGCAGTGCTACAGGTTTATAAAAGACTACATTCAGAAAGAAAGCAACATTACATCAAACAATCTGTGTTAATATGTAAATGATAAAAAGGGCAACAACTCCAATAACAAAATCAAAATCTTTAAAATTCAAATATGTGATATTAATATAATGTCTACCATGTGTCATACTACATCACTGGTTGGGAGTTACTAACAGCAATATTAGTGCACAGTTCTAGATGGACAGACAACAGAATGGAGACCCTTATCCAGTATAACACATACACATTCTCCCCATCAACTTTATCACAGGAGATCAAATATACTTAACTACTGGCCGTTGCAGATCTAGTCCTTCCCAAGTAATTTGAAATGACATGCTCACTGCTTTTATATTGAGAAATTACTGATAAGCAATCTTCTATTGCCTAAAGCTACAATGGTTAGACTGATGACTGTTATTTCTTCTGGTTCTAATGAGAAAAGTGTGAATCAGAAGAAACACACACATTGGGTCAAAATCAAAGATGGCTGCCAGTTGTATACACAAACAAAGGACCAAATACATGACAATTGAAAAAGATCCCTCCATTTCCTCTCAAGACATTTTCATGATAAAATTTCCTTTAATTTTCCAAGATGTCTGCCAAGTGGCCACTTTTTTCAGATTTACACACCTATGGAACAAGGAATTTACTTACAAAAAAGAAAGATTCTTGCAGTACTTTTTGAAGAAGTAGCTATTTCACACAAATTTTACTTACAGAAATATAAGCAAATGCAATTATATGCATATGGTTGTATTTGAACCTATGTTTTGAGTAGTGTTAAAACCTAATTCATCGCACAAAAAAACTCCAGGGGAAACATGAATATGAAAAAAGTTTAAAATTTGAGGAACAAGGATGAAAAAAATAGCATAAAGAGTTGTAAGACAGAAAATGGACCATCTGAAGACTTCAACAATTTGACCACAAATATATATGAAAATAAAATATAAATAAATGGTTTCCCTAAAAAATAAGGGAAAAACTTTAAAAAGTAGAAGGCAATACATGGCTTTGGTATGATATATAGAGTAACAACTGTCTTAAGCTACTTTGATCTCTGTTAAATGATTTAATATCAAAACAATGATTACCTGTCATTCAAACTACACCAACAGGAATATGAAGAAAAAACATACTACATTAAACAGATTATGTGTAAATTAAATAAAACAAACCAAAAATATCAAGGAATTTTCTGTCACACAACATTTCTGTGGGAGTTATCTCCCTTTGGTCACACTCCTATCGGATCTTCAGTGACAACAAAAGAGTTCCAAGTCATGGCATTTTCAAAGCCATTTCTCTGCATTTGATAATCCCGCATGGCTTGACCTATTTCTTCCTGTGTGTTCATGACGAATGGCCCTGTTCAACGAAACAAAGCGTGTTATTACCCCTGGAGGTGGATTTCAGAATTTTTCATTTCCTTTGTTTTTTTGTCATTTTTTTTTTTTACTATTTCTGTCTTCTTTTTTTATACAACGTGTAAAATTTCAATAGAGCCCATGGTGCAATATTCCTCAGCAGGTCCAGAAACTGATATGGACTGGTACATACTTACAGGCTCACTAACTCATCCAATACAAAAACATTGTTGCCAGTAGAAGATACAGAATCAATAATTAGATAAAAACTTGATCATCACTGCTGTGTTGATGTAAGATCACTACAGTGGTATAAAATCTTGTATCATTACTAACCACTTTCCCAGTAAGGTATAACATCAATTAGTTTTCATCAACCGCGTAAAAGAAACTTTTTCAATATTCTGTCATATTTGTAAAATACAATGATTGATAATCAACAAGAAAATTGAAAAAAGAAATCAGACAAACACATTAATCACACCTTTGTGTATCTAATGCCGACGCCCTTGTTGTTCCTTTACATATTCTGACTGCCAAGATCTGACCCCCTCAAATCCATTTTTACCCTGGTGGTAGTCTACCATGGCTTGCTGTATTTCTTGGTTCGTATTCATCACAAATGGACCTAGAAAACAGTCAATGGTTCGGTCAAAAGACAGCAAGTCTTGCAAAATTTTATTTATTATAGATTAAGAGCAGCTGAATGGTAAAAACCACTTAGATCCACCTATATACAGACCAAGAACGTTGACTCTACTCTCCACATGCTTGAATTAAGTATTGATTCTGTACCAAATCTAAACATTTATTTGAGTCAGGTCTTGTCGGAAATTTGAAAATATTAGTCCACATTCCATTTCCTAAATACTATTCCTCATAAAAGTAGAGACAGCAGATACAGATGAAATTAGAGTTCTACAAAAAGACCTCATCTCTGTTCATCAGGGCTCAATGGTGACTATTTCTGTGTTGGATTTGAGGGGACAGATATAATGCCACTGCAAGTTACAAAATTACTTTCCTAAACCATAAGGTCCTCTATACCTCAAAATCACTTCATAACTGGTCTGCAGTGTATTGCTTGACCACTATAGAGAAATAGCTTCATATCCGAGTTTTACTATATCTTTTCATGTCCAACAGAGAATTACTCCCTGATCCCCTGAGTGACAGATAAAAGTAACTCTTACATCACATGTTAAAGGACGAAACAAACTTTCAAAATGTACAGTCTATATAGACAACAAAAAGCCTCACCGTGTTGGACGATAGGTTCATTCAAAGGTTTGCCTCCTATTAGAACAAAGCGAAGCATTTCTGTACCCTGAAAGTCATAAAGGGTCAAGTAAAATCTCAGATATGTTAAACAAGTAAATATTTTTCACCTTAGCAAGCATGGCAAAATAGCTTTGTTTTTATTGAAATCAGATTGATTTTAACATTTCAGGTTGTCTTTCAGTGAAAAACTCATTACACTTTTGAATATATTGTCCCAAAGATTGACAACAGATTTGGTGGAAAAACACTATAACATCTCCCCATGTAAGACCTTAAAATAGTTCATAATACATTTCTGCAGTAATACAGAGGACATTCATACAGCATATCAAAATCAACAAAACGTTTTTAGATATACTGAACTTTAACTATTGAAGTTTATTTTTGAAGAATAAAATTACAAATGAAACACAATCGAAGAGCTTGGTAGTGCCTCTGTAATGACTGGATAGACTATTTTATAAATAAACAAATCAATATACCTTATTCTGTACTTCTAGTTGATTCCCTTCTTTGCTGAGGACTACAGTATGATGGGCACTGATTTCCATCTGCTGTGTGCTGCCCCCTACAGGGTCAAAATGGAGACAACATTAAAAATCTGTCAGTTTTTAGGCTTTTATTTCTATTTCAAAATACTCTTCCATATTTGACATCAATCAGCTAATAAATTCTTCAGAAACCTGTGAGATAAAATTGAAGCTTACAAGTAAATAACAAAATACATTTATACTCAATTATAAAAGCATTCAGGTACAGTGTACATGATGGGACAACACAATAAGATATCACACTCACCAAAATGTCCTTTCCCATCAATGGTGTATACAAATGATGTGTACTCGTTTGGTATTGGCTGGACTAATTTTGAGCCTGGATCCATTTTGAAATCCAGATACATGGTCGAGGTACGTGTGTACACTGGAGACTAAAATAAAAAATAGTTGTAATTTAAACACCACAAACAAAATTATCTATAACACTATGTTTAGTTTTCATGTAGATATTATTATAAAACATATATACATTATATTTAACACCTTGTCTTGTTTAAAAATCACAGTGTTATAGAATACGACTTATCACATCAAGTAACACCATGTCTTTTTGAGTCCGCCCTATTAAATCTGATGTCAAGTATGGTATGGCAACAAGCTGACCAATATCCCATTATATGTACAATATTTATTATACCTTTATGCCAAATGCCTCTCCAGCAATCACCTTCACTGTCACTCCATCCTTGGTGGTCCGAGGAATGTCCTTGTCCAGAAGTTCCTGATAGGCCGGCTTCATCATCTTATTTTCGGCAGCAAGATTGACCCACAATTGAAGGCCATGGGTCACTCCGTCTCCCCATGGCATCTCACAGTGGACAATACCTCGCCCTGCGGTCATCCACTGAAACAAAACCAGTCCATATAAGTCTTCATTATAAATATATGACCGGATTAAAGCTATGACTTACAAATAAAGTTATTTTGATATAAACGTAGTGGAGAAAAATATTCACTGCTTTTTAATTATGATGAACATCAGTCAAGTTGTATGAGTATTTGCAGTATAACAAATATTTATGTACTGTATTGATGTAGTGAATGAATTACAGTTATAACAGAAAGTCATTGGGATGAAAAATGTGGCAAGTTTATGACCATTCAGCTGTGGTTGACCTCAAAACAAATTCAAGGTGAAGGTCATGGCACATCTCTGTTACAAGTGTAAAGTCAAAAACTCTTCCTCAGTCAACAACTAGGTTTGTCAAATCATTAGAAACGAAACTGTCCTCTGACCTGAATTGTACGGAAAATAATTTGAGTAGAATGTTTCTGTAAAATTACCCTGAAATCATGCTGTTTGACTTTATTTTCATGTGAACTAACGATATAGATGACATTAGTGTCAAATCTGAAAGTATGACTTCATGTCCTTACCTGGAGGTCTCCTTCATTAATAATACCAGCGTGACCACAGAAGTCCTCATGTCTAACTGCGCCCTTCAGGATGTAGGTCACCTGTAAAGTATGTAAGTATCATACATAACAGTACCCTAAGAAAGTAGGTCACCTGTAAAGTATGTGAGTATTATATCTAACTGCGCCCTTCAGGAAGTAGGTCACCTGTAAAGTATGTAAGTATCATATATAACAGTACCCCTAAGAAGATAGGTCACATGTAAAGTATGTGTTTTGTAACAGACTTTCCTGATCACCTGTCCTCACCTGCTACCTTTGTATCACACAATCCATGTCACAAAGGACTGGATGGGTATGAGAATTACCTCCAGTCTCTGCCTTATGAATATATCCCTGTTTGTTTAATTTAAAAGTGGAGAAATTAACAGTTTCAACATAACCTTTTTACAGAAGTCAGAAGACTTGGAATAATATTACCAAGGAACAACATGTATTACAAGGATGTCTAAGACTTTGATACTGGAGCCAGGCCATTAACCAAGCAACAGTTTAAGGAAAAATCTTACAGTTTCAAACCCTCTGTGGGGATGGTCTGGGAAACCACCTGGCTGTTGTCCTTTAAACTCGTCAAGCATCAGGAAGGGATCAAGATTCCGCAACTGTCAAGCAACGAATCATTTAAAGTTACAGATCGAAGCATAAATGCATCTTTCTTGTATCAATATTGATAATGATTGGGATAATAGGATGCAATACATCAATAACAACAAAGAAAATACCAACATGTCAACAGAATCCTAATCCAAACTCAAATTCAGTAAAACTAGGGCAAAATAGGAGCAAAGGAAATGTTTACAAGGAGACTCCTGAAAAACAACAAAGAAAATACTAACACATCAACAGAATCATAATCCAAACTTTACAATCCATTAAACAGTAAAACTAGGGTAAAAAATGACCAAAGGAAAGATTTACTCGCCTACGGAGTCTTAACAATAAAATAGAAAATATAAAACATGTATGTGTAAATGTTTAGCTGGCATCCTCTTCAGGACCAAATTATTCAGAATGGCCCATACACTAATAAGGTATATCATATACACTATGGGTGGGTTTTTTTCTGAAAGGCTGGTATTTTGTAACAACAGAATATCAATAATTTTATAATATCTCCTGGGATTCCATATCAGGTAGACTTAAACAAAGTAAAGAGAGAAAGGGATTTTTCTTTTCAGTGATCCAGATATGTAGATATTGCTGATACCTGTCTAGTACTGTCTATGTAAATTTTGGAGGTTAAAGGTCGATCCTTTGAGTTAATGACATATCTTGCTTTGTATAAAATAATACTATAACAGTAATACCGTGGTTATTTTCAAAGTAAACTTAGTAGCTTGAATATTTTACCTTTACCTACAATATTAAGTCTCCTGATTAAACAGGTAACATTTAATATAATCAGTAACTTCTGGCTGAAAAACGGAATTTTCATAATGACTGACCTCTACGCGCCCAACACTCCTGCGCACTCGAGCCCCAACTCCCTCATCTTGCTCCACACTCAGGACAGTCTTGACCACTGTCTTGGCTGTCATGCTGGGGATAACTGAACAGTATTGGTTCCTATTAGTTGATGCTGGAATGAGAGTTCTATACCAAGTGGTCAAGTTACAAGTATTGCCTGGTACATGAGTGTGGGAAGTCTTCAGTACAGCTAACACAGTAGTCAGGAAAAGTACAGAGTTTTCCTTTTTAATCCTCAGAACACCAGACAACATTCAGTTGATGGCTGTATAAACATGATACAAGTAAACAATTATTGACAAACGTCATATACAAACAAAAGGTCCAGAGGGCTGGTATCACTTTCATTTTTCAGCAATACTGGCTAAATACTTCTAATAAATGCAAATTTAAGACAAAAAACTTTTTTTTTTAATTTTTTTTTTTGTGGTATCAGAGCAAATATCAAACTAGTTATTAAGATGTTAATCAACAAGTTTTAACTGTTTCCAAAAGAAGGCTTTGAAATTCTTTCCTTTCACAAGGGGAGTCTTCAATGACCTTAAGACAAAGCCTTTTTGTAAATGTTGGCATTTGCTTCATTTTGAAGTTATGGCAGGGTTATAACACAGCCTGTATTTTCCCTGAGATTAATTTGATCAAAGAGAAAAGGCAGAATGGCACAGATGGCTAATTCTGATCAGATAAACAGTGAAGTCAGCAGGGCTGACGATCAAATGCCAAAACCAACCTTACATATATGATTATCAAATTAGATCCAAACTGTTGCAATGTAACTCAGGAACTGTTAATGAACCGTGTTCTGGTATAATGATCCTAGAAGTGAAGCATGACTGTGTCAGACTTTTTGTCCCAATTATTGTATTAACTACTGCTAAATACAATTGTAGTATATGTTTGCATGTTCTTACTGATATATGACACCAGGACACATTCTGAATGGTAAGAATGGATTCTTAGAAAATTACTGCAGCCTGAAACAGATTGTATTGTAATGGCAAGCAATTGCACGTATGTAATATGAAGACATTAAAACATGTTTGTTTGAGATTCATCTGTATAATAAAACACCTAGATTTTTTTCTACATCAATTTTATTTGACAATATGAATTTAAAATGCATCAAAACTGCCACTTGTCAGGATATCGAAATGTGAAAACAGCAGTATCATGGTAAAAAAAAAATCTCATTATTATGTAGAGCACGTTTTGAGGAAGTTGTTAAGTTAATGTCCACTCCACCCCATCCAAATTACTTTCGTGTTCAAATAATTTTAAAAAAAATGTATTGAAATAAGTGAAGAAAATGGCAACAGCTGAGGGAAATTGGAAAAAAACAAACAACCAGACACAAGATAATAACTACATAAGTATTTGCATTTTTGTTTTTTTTTGTTTGTTTTTTTTTTTTTTTTTTGTTTTTTCATTTTATGTTTATGTCCATGTCTGACTATTGCGAGTCTTGATTTCCCATGCATCTAGATTTATCAGATGGTAGTAATTGGGATGATATATATCACACAAGTGTATATATACACATCTACATGTATATATATAAACATTCCAGTTTCTCAACTCAGAATTTTTGCCGTGTCATGTTGACCTACAAATTCACATCTATATATTTTATTAGTTATATCACGGACTTGTATCTATATTTAAGTCCGTGGTTATATTCCTTGAATGTAAGAAGTTCTAAATGTTAAATATTGAAGATTAATCCTAACATCTGGAAAACAGTTCCCACATATATTTATATACACAATTTATACATAAAATGTCACTTTACAGTCCTTACAGGTAGCCCATCTAAAAAGGGCGTACCATTCCAAAACGTAATGTGCCAATGTAAAATTTCGTCCGTTTACATTTATATACTGATTATAGTCTTCCTCAGAATAAATCTTAATATTCTAAGGAATCTATATAATCAGACAAATATAAACACACACACACTTACATGTACATACACATACGGTCGCATTAAAGGTCTACATGTACCTACTGAACCTGTTACAGTTAATATAAATCTGTATCACACCAAAGCATGATTTTATCATCCTAAACTCTCTATTTCGTTTCCAAAGTATTGCTTGACATCATTATTACATGAAATATCATCACACACGTGTTTCACTTACCTGGTTAGCTGTACACAACGATCAGTAAACAAGCAAAACCCACGGCCCGGAAGTGTTCGGCAGAAGGTCAAAATATATAACAAGGTCACGTTTAATGGTAAGATTACCCTTAAATTAACCGCTTCATTAAGTCTGGATTTTACTTCGAACACATGCACAAAAACGGTTATGTATATTTGACTCATACATTACTACATTTATATCTTTCTTTTCTGCTTTCGTTTTAATTTTTCATTCTTCTTTCGTTTTTGCAATAAAACTTGTGGCGCGAAATGTTAAAACATTTAAACTTCTTTCATAAACGACCAAGTGAATTAAAATCGCTCATGAATAATAGGCCACGCCTTCTTGCAATTCTTTGGCTGCTGAAGTCCAAACATCCACGTCTTATATTGGAAACATGACGATGTTTTAAAGTATTACTTTCGATGACTCATTTCTTATTTTTATAAACTATTTAATTAAAGACCGACCGATGAATAATAAACTTTCATTAAATAGTTTGTTATAAAAAGTTTACAAGGAAACAATAAAAACTTGAATCTGACTCTTTTAAAAAAAGGTGCACACATTGTTCCACTGGTTTTTTTTTTTACATAAATATCATAGTATTAACACATTTCATATAATTTATGCACTTGCTTGGTCGCAATTCATCGACTTAACGTGCAATGTAGCTAGCGAGAAATGAGTCTACGGGTTCCGAAACCAATGCGCCATGGAGTGTACTGATAGACGACTACGTGTAGTTGTGCCCTTGCTTGTCCGTATTTCGTCAACAATCATTCGCTGATATCTTTGCCAATCAAACCATCCAAATCACCACATAGTAAAACAATATGAATACAATTTTTTAGTAAAAAGTGCCATGCCATGTTAGACTATTAAACCCGACCCTGTTGCAGAGACTTGACTTACTGTTCATTAGCCAAAGTACATTATACATGTAGGTCTATATATACCGAACATACAGTAATTGTCTTGTGTGAAATTGTGAACATGTGCTAATATCGTATATCATTAAGGTATATCAATATCACAATGTGTGAATGTTTTCTTGTATATTTCGATTATTTTCCCACATCTGAATACTTCAAATACCACCGATAAAGCAGATTGGAGGCGCTGATATATATATATATAAATTCAATCTATCTTATTTCAGAAATAGTAATACGACGTTTCACAGACAGATACCCTTTCTTTTTTACTTTGCAATTAATATGTTTCTTGTAGTGACAATAATTAAAAAAAACTGCTTTGTTAAATTTTTGAAGTACAGCAAAAACAAAAATAAGAAATATCGTTTTTACGATAACGCCGTTTTAACTACCAGGTAAGGCCATTTTTACGATTGCACATTCTTTATAGTAAAATTTGCAATACCAAGTCTACTGGAATCAAAATTAGGCTTTCATGAAAAAAATTAGACAGCAGTTTCAAAATGTTTCGTTTTCATTCTTCATTAACCATATATTTTTGTCTGATCGATCCAGGGCTAATAAGTTTGAACACTTTATGTTACTTAATTGAAATAACTTTTTTACATCATGACTGAAATTGCTACTTATTATTTTTAAAAGTGGATATCGTCCTGAATACGGATTTTGCTAATCTGTCTTCTTGAATGATAATTGGTGCACTACTGGTATAAGGTTCTAACCTTAAATAGATCACTTACCACTTTTAAGGTTTCTTTAGTTTAATGTCAATTATTAACATAAGGATCCTGGAAATCATCAACACTTTTTGCATAAGCTTTACACGTGAGCACGTGCTTTAGTTAGAATACTGATAGTTTCAAGTACGGCAGGTTGGACGACCTTCGTTCGAGCCTTGTAGTCGAAAACAGCATAAGCCCTTGCAACGAAAAAGATCCAGTATCAATATCGGACCATACCGTTGATATTACTGATTAGATTATGCATTGAATTCACCGTGTCCGGTGAAATGTATTAAAATGTAAAACATTTTTTTATAAACAGTTGAATTAAGCATTAGCACTAGACAATTTATTAAGTATCATGAAGTTTCAGAGGTGTAAACAATAATGTCTAATTCAACGTGTTGTTTGAAATTATTTATACACAAAAAAAGGGTCACAACTCCCATAACAAAATGAAAATATCTAAAATTCAAATATATAGTATAAATATTTATACACATGCGCAACAGGTGTCATCATAGCGGTATTAGTGCACAGTTATAGATGGATAGACAAAAGAGTGGAGGCCCTAATCCAGTATAACACATACACATTCTCCCCATCAACTTTATCACAGGAGATAAAATATGCTTAACTATCACCATTGTAGACCTACCTGTGTAATTTGAACAGATCTGTCAACTGCCTTTTATATTGAGAAAATACTGACACACAATCTTCTATTACCTAAAGCTACAATGGTTAGACTAATGACTTATTTCTTCTGGTTCTAATGAGAAAACTGTGAATCAGAAGAAACACAAACATTGAGTTGAAACGGTCAAAATTAAAGATGGCTGCCATGTGTATAATATAATACCTGATTAAGATCATCCTGTGCTAGTTTCACTGTTAAATTCGAAGATGTCATATTTTTTTCAACTTTACATACCTGTGGTTCAAGAATTTACCTGCGAAATATAGGAAAGATCCTTACAATACTTCTCAAATAGTTATTTTACACAAACTTAACGTACATAAATATATAAGTACTCTATTATTTGCAATCTAATATAATTGCCTTTATATTTATGCTTGGAGTAGTGTTAAAAATTAATTTACGCCACGAAATATGCAGGGGAAACATACATATAGAATAATATACAAGTTAAGGAAGATGCTTGACAAAAATTAGGATATATAGTTTCCAGACAGAAAATAGGCCATCTGCACCCTTCAACAGTCTCACAGGTACTTGTTTATCTTCAGATATCTTTAATGTGCGTCACAATTGTTTATTAAAGTCAAATATAAAGAAATGGTTTCCCTTGAAAAATAAGGCGTTAACTTAACAAAGTAAAAGGCAACACGTGGCTTTGTTATGATATATAGGGTAACAACTGTATTAAGCTGCTTTAATCTCCGTTAAGTAAATTTAATATCAAAACAATGATTAACTGTCGTTCAAACTTAACCAACAGGAATATAAAGAAAAAACATTCTGCATTAAGCATATTTATGTGAAAATTAAATAAAACAAACAAAAAAAGTAAAAAAAAAAATCCGTCTTTAGCAGACGTTAAATTGTCTGTAGCTGCTCCCAACATTTCTGTGGGAGATCTTGGAAGTTATCTTCCTTTTGTCACACTCCTATCGGAACATAATGATTCAAGGCATTTTCAAAGCCATTTCACTGCATTTGATAATCCCGCATGGCTAGACCTTTTCCCTCCGGTGTGTATATGACGAATGGCCCTGTTCAATGAAACAAAACCTCTGATTAGGCCGGGAGGTGGATTATTTTTCACTTCTGTTTTGACACATGGTGTAAAATTTTAATAGAACCGTTGGTGCAATATTTCTAATTAATATCGACAGATACATAATTACAGGCTCACTAACTCATCCAATACAAAAACATTGTTGCCAGTAGAAGATACAAAATCAATAATCAGATAAAAACTTGATCATCACTGCTGTGTTGATGTAAGATCACTACAATAATATAAAATCTTATATCATTACTAACTACTTTCCCAGTAAGGTATCAATTAGTTTTCATCAACCGCGTCAAAGAAACTTTTTCAATATCCTGTCATATTTGTAAAATAACATGATTGATAATCAACAAGAAATTAAAAATATTCTATGTATATTATGGCTCAAAATTTGTAACAAATACCAGTCTAGTTAGTAATCATTGAAATCGGGTAAAGTTATCAATCACACCTTTGTGTATCTAATGCCGACGCCCTTGTTGTTCCTTTACATATTCTGACTGCCAAGATCTGACCCCCTCAAATCCATTTTTACCCTGGTGGAAGTCTACCATGGCTTGCTGTATTTCTTGGTTCGTATTCATCACAAATGGACCTAGAAAACAGTCAATGGCTTCATGAAAATTGTGACTTCATCATAAAGTAAATCTTGTGAAACGTCGTGAATTAAGTATCCAGCTTTATGGTAAACGCTACATGGATCCACCTGAGTATAGACTAGTGACGTTTGACTCTACTCCCCATATGCTTGAATTTAGTATTGATTATGTATCCAATTAAAACATTCACTTAGGTCGAGGCATGAGAACAATTTGACAATACGAGTCCACATTCCAATTTTTTCTATATTCTATTTTTTCTCATAAAATTATAGACAACCGACACTGATGAAATAAGGGTTATACAAAAAGACATCATATTTGCTCATCAGGGCTCAATGGTGACTATAACTGTGTTAAATTTTAGGGGGACAGATACCATGCCACTCCAAGTTACAAAATTACTTTACTAAGCCACAAGGTCCTCTGTTCTTCAAAATCACTTCATAACACATTTCTAGTATACTGCTTGATCGCATTGAAAACATAATAGATGAAATAGTAGCTTCATATCTGAGTTTTAAAATGACAATAGCAAAACAATGAAGTAAATTTATTATGCAATACGACACTCACTGTGATTTAATCATTCAAATAAGTTTCACATTATCTTCATCCAAATATCACTGTATAACATCAGTTGGCCGATACCTACCTGGTATATCTTTTCAGGTCCAACAGAGAATTACTCCCTGATCCCCGGAGTGACAGATAAAATTAACTCTTACATCACTTGTTAAAGGACGAAACAAACATTTAAAAATGTTCTGTCTATATAAACAACAAAAAGGCTCACCGTGTTGGACGATAGGTTCATTCAAAGGTTTGCCTCCTATTAGTAAAAAGCGAAGCATTTCTGTACCCTGAAAGTCATAAAGGGTCAGGTAAAATCGTATACAGTCAATTTTGTGGAACTCAAAATTTATTAGAAGCAAACAACTTGATGATTTTTACCTTTGCAAACTTAGAAAAAATATTTCAACAAACTTGGTATCGGTATTTGATATTTTAGCAATCATGGCAAAATAGCTTTGTTTCCAATAAATTCCTATTGGTTTCTACATTTTGGATTGTATCTTTTATCGAAATAACAGTTGAAACATACATACTGTTCAGAAAGTCAATTACTCTATAACATCTCCCTATGTAAGACCTAAACATGGTCCATAATACATTTCTGCACTAATACAGAGGACATTCATACTGCATATCAAAATGATCAAAACGTTTTTAGATATTCTGCACTTTAACTATTGAAGTTTATATTTGAAGAATAAAATTACAAATGAAACACAATCGAAGAGCTTGGTAGTGCCTCTGTAATGACTGGATAGACTATTCTATAAATACACAAATAAATATACCTTATTCTGTACTTCTAGTTGATTCCCTTCTTTGCTGAGGACTACAGTATGATGGGCACTGATTTCCATCTGCTGTGTGCTGCCACCTAAAGGGTAAAATTGAGATAACACTTAAACTATATCAATATTTTTAGGTTTTTATTTCAATTACAAAGTACTCTTCAATATTTAAAAGGGTTTTGACATTAATTAGCTAATATTCTTCGGAACTGGTTGAAGCTTACATGTAAATAACATACATTGAAGGAAGAGATGTCGAGAAATAGAATCTTACATGGGTCTTGTATGAGGATAAGGATATCTCAACCCTCATGTAAAATAGAATCTTATGTCTGTTTCGAGGACAGAGACATCTCAACCCTTTTATGAAACAGAATTTCACACAGGTCTAATCCAATGACAGGAGGTATATCAGCTCGAGTTTAAAAGTTTGGCTGGTTAGCATGACGCTTGCCACATGCTAGCCAATCAAAACCTAGCACATATGTCGAGACCAATGGTTAAAATAATTTTTAGAAATGAAGTTGTTACAAATTGAGAGTTGCTCTTGGGAACTATTCACACCGCACCATCATCATTGATGACGTGATCAAATTATGCTTCATAAAATGATGACGTGACGCTATAGTGAGTAAAATCGCATTCCAACTATCTTTTCCGTGCGAGATACAATCATTTCCCAAGCGAAATCCCGATCAAACTTGTGAATTATGTGAGGATACATTGCCTCTGAAGAAACATTTGTTTTCAGAGAAAACTTTACACTGTTGCGACAAAATTGTATTCCACACAAAATACCCTCGATTATTAAAGAATTCGGGTACATATGAGATAACACAATAGGATATCACACTCACCAAAATTTCCTTTCCCATCAATGATGTACACAAATGATGTGTACTCGTTTGGTATTGGCTGGACTAATTTTGAGCCAGGATCCATTTTGAAATCCAGATACATGGTCGGGGTACGTGTGTACACTGGAGACTAAAATGATGAAAAGGCATAATTTAAACACCACAAACAGAATTATCTATAACACCAGGTCATTCCTCCCCTTCCGCACACCCTCACACACAGTGTTAAACAATAGGACTTAGTAGATCAAGTAATGTCTGTCTATTAGAGTCCGCCCTATTATATACGAGTTCCAGTATGGTGTGTCAACATACTGACCAATATCCCATTATATGTACAATAGCAATTATACCTTAATGCCAAATGCCTCTCCAGCAATGACCTTCACTGTCACTCCATCCTGAGTGGTCCGAGGAATGTCCTTGTCCAGGAGTTCCTGATAGGCCGGCTTGATCATCTTATTTTCGGCAGCAAGATTGACCCACAGTTGAAGGCCATGGGTCACTCCGTCTCCCCATGGCATCTCACAGTGGACAATACCTCGCCCTGCGGTCATCCACTGAAACAAAACCAGTCCATTATAAAAACATGACTAATAAAGTAACTTTAAGATAAAAGAACTGGAGAAATATATTCACTGCTTTGTCATTATGATGAAGATTGTTTATGTTACAAACATCAGCTTACAATTGCGGAACGAGATATCAGCTTATAGTAATCACTCTTCTTGGCCTGTATGCAAGCGGGGGTGTCTAATTGAGGGTGGAATCCGGAGTTACCAAGAGAAAACCCACGTGGTCGAAAAGGTGTTCCCAAACATTTCCAGGTCCGTTCTGGGAAACGAACCTCGGACGGCTAGGTGAAAGGCTAGTGAATTACCACTGCGCCACCCGACGAGCCGTTTTAGAGTATTTATGTAACGTTTATCATGGTCAATATTGTAACAAACATTGATGTACTGTATGAAAACATTGAATGAATTATAGTATTAACAGTAAGTCATTGGGATGGAAAAATTAGAATTAATGATCATCAAGAAAAACTTGCAAATTTAAGACCATTCTGCTTCTATTGACCTCAAAGCAAACTCAAGGTGGCGGTTATAGCACATTTCTGTAAAGTAAAAATACTTCCTCTAAGTCAACAACTAAGTTTGTTAACTGATTAGAAACTTTCATCTAACCTGCACAACACTAAACATAAGTACAATATTTCTGTAAGATTGTACAAAGGACACACAACTGAATACTTAACATAATTTAGGTTGATATACAGTGGAAACAAACAATGAATTAAACGGCATAATACAGCTGTTCCGTCCTTCCAGGACTCGTCAGTGATGCTTAGGGCCTAAATTTGAAGCCTAGGAGGCGACTTAGGAGAATCCAAAGTGATCAAAAGAAAAGTCAAAATCTAGACGGGGAGATGCAGCAGCCCCATATTGAAATAAATTTAGTTATTTTCATACATCAGATAATTTTAGAATAGCGTCAAGTAAATGTGTATTTTCTGAACCAACTGTGCCACTATTCGAGTGGCTGTAAAGGTGGCAAATAGGTTACGGCAAACCTCGGGGACTTAAAGTCCACCAGCAGTGTCTACCACCTAACCCTGCCTTTTGATATCATTTTCGTGTGAATTATTGTTACAGATAACAAAGGTCTCATATTTTGATAGTATGACTTCATGTCCTTACCTGGAGGTCTCCTTCGTTAATGGTACCCGCATGACCACAGAAGTCCTCGTGTCTAACCGCGCCCTTCAGGATGTAGGTCACCTGTAAAGTATGTGAGTATTATAACTAACTTTACCACTCAGGATGTAGGTTACCTGTAAAGTATGTAAGTATTACATCTAACCGCGCCCTTCAGAATGTAGGTCACCTGTAAAATATGTAAGTATCAAATCTAACCGCGCCCTACAAGATGAAGGTCACATGTAAAGTATGTCAGTATTATATCTAACAGTACCACTCAGGATGTAGATCACCTATAAAGTATGTATCATATATAACAACACCCTTCAGGAAGTAGGTCACCTGTAAAATATGTAAGGATTTTTTTATAACGGTACCCCTAAGGAAGTAGATCACTTATAAAGTATTATATCTAACAGTAACTTAAAATTTGTAGGTCACATGTAAAGTATATATTTTGTAACAGACTTCCCTGATCACCTGTCCTTACCTGCTATCTTTGTATCACACAATCCATGTCACAAAGGACTGGATGGGTATGAGAATTATATCTAGTCACTGACTTATTAATAAATCCCTGTTCAGTTTAACTTAAAAAAACCAGAGAAATCAATAGTTTTAATACAACTGTTATACAGCATTAATATTACTTGGAAGGATATTATTCATGAACAGAAAACAATTTCTCTGAGATATTAATTCTTATGCTGGGGTCCGGATCTTAGGCAAGCAACAAGACTTACAGTTTCGAATCCTCTATGGGGATGATCTGGGAAACCACCAGGCTGTTGATCTTTAAACTCGTCCAGCATCAGGAAGGGATCGAGATCCCGCAACTGCCAAACAACGAAACATTTAAAAGTTACAGATCTTACTTGTATCATCGTGATTGGGATACAATAATGTGATTGTGTGACACATGCCAACAATATCATAATCCAAACTCCAACTCGAGCAACATATGAATAAAAAAAAAATACACAGATTCCTACTTCTTGGTAAAATTACAGAATAAAACATGTATAAATGTTAATCTTAAGCTGTCATCCTCTTCAGTACAACATTATTCTGAGACCAATACACCTTTTTTTCTGAAAGGAAGGTACTTGATAATTTCAATGCTGTTATAATATCTCCTTTGATTACATTAAGGTAGACTAAAACTAAGTAAACAGAGAAAAGGATTTTTTCTTTTCGAGGATCCAGATATGTTTACATCATTGATAGGTGCCTAGTACTGCTTACAAAAAATCAAATTTTGGAGGTAAAAGGCAGGTCATGTTAGTTCTAGGATATACGTTGTATAAAATATTCGTCTGAAAAACACCCTGGTTACTTCCAAAGTACATTTTTCATTAACCTACAGTATCTAGTGTTCTCATTTACCAAGTAACATTTTATGTAATATTTTTTGACAAAACAAATTAATTTGCATTATGACTGACCTCTAAGCGCCCGACACTCCTGCGCACCCGAGCCCCAACTCCCTCATCTTGCTCCACACTCAAGACAGTCTTGACCACTGTCTTGGCCGTCATGCTGGGGATCACAGGTCAGTATTGGTTCGTTCTATTTTAAGCTGGAATGAGGGTTCTATACAAAGTGGTCAAGTTACAAGCATCGCCTGGTAAATGAGTGTGGTAAGTCTTCAGAAGGCAGGAAAAGTATCGAGTTTTTCTTTTTTGTCCTCGGAACACAACATTCAGCTGAAGGCTGTACAAACATGATTATAAACAAACCTCATTTACAAACAAGAGCCACAGAGGGCTAGTATCATATCCAGTCTTAGCTAAACACTTTCAAGGATTGCAAATTTAAGATGAAAAGTTTTTTTCTTTTTTTTTAATGGTTGTCTCAGAGCAAGTATCAATCTAGTTATTTAAAACTTAATTCACAAGTTTCAACCGTTTGTGAAAAAATATTTTGATATTATCTCCTTTCACCTGAAGATAAAGATGATAGGGTTACACAAACTGTATTTTCCCACATATTACACTCCAACAGTATAGAGAGCAGGGCTGAGGCCAAAACAAATTTCATACCTATGAATTTAGGGGATTAGATCCAAACTGTTTCTAATTGACTCGAGAACTAGAAGTCATGAGGAGCGTCACTGTCAGGTATACCAATCCTTGAAGCGAAGCATATGACTTTTCGTCAAAACAATTGTATAAATCATTGATAGTTTCTTATGAAACATGACGTAGGGACACATTCTGAGTTGCAGATATGAATTCGTAGACAATATCTGTAGCATGGAATAGCTTGTACTTTAATGGCGATCAATTGCAAGTATGTAATATGAAGATACTGAAAACTACCTCTTGTATGAGATCATACCCCAACAGTATAGCCAGCAGGGCTGAGGATCGAATCCCAAAACCAATTTTATACCTATGTTTTTGGGATTAGATCTAAACTGTTTCTAATTGACTCAAGTACTATAAGTCATGAGGAGCGTAGCTGACCTACTATCAGGTATACCAATCCCTGGAGCAAATCATATTTTCGTCAAAAAAGTATGTAATATGAAGATACTTAAAGCTACCACTTGTATGGATACCAAAATGTACAAATAGCAGCATCGTGGTAAATAAAACAATATTATATAGAGCGCTAAAAAGTTTTGAGGAAGCTATGTGTCCAGTTAAGTCCATCCTTCAATCATATCTCCCCATACCTTCCAATTACTTTCTTGTTCAAATAAGAAAAAAAAACTGAAGTTAATGACAATAGCTGAAGGAACTCGGAAGGAAATAAAACAAACAAAAAAAAAAGATAACTACATTTGCATTTGTATTTGCGATATTTTTTTTACATTTTTATATTTATGTCCAAGTCTGACTAGTGTTAAAAATGAGAAAAAGAATCTTGATTTCTCATGTATTTAGGCTTATCATCTGTAAGCCAATTGACTGGTATACATGAGGATGTACATATCTACATGTACTTGTGTATACATAAACATTCCAGTTTCTCACCTCAGCTTTATTATTTGCCATGTCATATCGACCTGCACACACGCATAACAGTTAACATAGACCTACAGTATATGTTACAATTCTATAGTTAATGTAATTCTGGATTATACCAAAGCATGATTTGACCATTCTGTACTTATTTGTTCCTAATGTATGTTTCGACATCATCATTACGTGAAATTTCATCACACACGTGTTTCACTTACCTGGTTAGCTGTACATAATGATCAGTAAACAAGCAAAGCCAACGACCTGGAAGTGTTCTACTGGTGGTATATATATATATATATATATATCAAGGTCACGTTTACTGGTAGGAATACCCTTATATGTTAACCGCTTCATGAAATCTAGTTCCGTTGAAGAAAAATATTTTTCAACCATTGTAATAATTTACCATTTATAAAATGTATGCTTTTAATTTAGAATTCGCAAATATTCGCAACTTTCCACTATTTATTTTAAGGAATAGGTTTATCATCTTACAAGGTCTACTGTTTAATTTCTAGTTTTTCTGAAAAAAAATCCACTGGTGTCGGTATTACTTTCTTTAACCCTTTTGTGCTAGCTATGTCTCTGATTTTTTGCCTTATATTATTTCTCACCCCTGATATATCGTTAAGCCGAATAATAATATTCTTAGACGCTAAACATTATTTTGACTTAAACAGTTTTTAGAAAAATTCTTCAAATCATTTGTGTGAAGTTCCTCTATCAGTCCCATTTTATAACAATAAAAGCTCTGTTCATTTTACCAGAATCTAAATTTACGTAATTACGTATAGTTTTAGTATATACTCTCTGTATAAATAACTTCATTTGTATTAATAGGTGATATTCACTTAATGTGTCTTTTGTACAATCTTTAAGATAGCAGGTGGTAGATACTGCTGGAGGGCTTAAGTATGTTTGAGCAGGTACAATTAATAACAGAGTATTAGTAGAATAAATTAAATTGAAATCTTTACGTTATTGAATTGAAATGTCCTGCGTGCCTTTAAAAAATCCTTGCTGAATAAGCATTAAGAAAACTGATTTGAATCCATGTGAAAAACAACACCTATACAACCCGATATTGTACTGAAGATGTTACAAAATCAAGTGACAACATAAATAGTTAATTCAAACCATGTGAAAAACAAAATCTACTACTGTAGTTCGGGTGCGGACAAAAACGGAGTGTCATATTTGTGATAAACCGTATCCAACCTTGATGACGATATAGTTACATTTCAATATATATAGCATTGTTTTCAGGTAGATAGACTACACTTAAGTAATGTATTTAAAAACATGGAGCTTAGTCAAATACCAAAAAAAATGTAGTACAATACATTTGCACCTATGTGCATCCTTTATTGTACATTAAAGGTATTTGTATTATTATCATTAAATGTTTTAAAGTCAAGTCAAGTCAAGTCATAGAATTGCAGAATGTTTTATTTCAACGGCAAGGCAAAATATGGGAAGAACAAAACCACTGGTATGGATATATTTGGTTATGTCAGCAATTGACTTGCGGCATCGAATTTATATTTTCTTACAAATGGTGCAACAATACATTCCAAAATTGACTATTCTTTAACTCTTTAAAATAACACCGTTTCTATTACCTCTCAGTACATGATTAGCTGATCTTTATTGCCTTAAACTTGAATTTTTGAGGATAATTTACCACACCAGATATCGGTTCAAGTGTTGGTAAACTTTCATCGTCTGCAGGAAGAAGTTTGAATCGTTGAACCAATGACGTCAAAAATAAGAAGAGTTCCATTCTTGCTAGGTTTTCCCCAAAGCATACTCTTCTCCCTATATTTAATTAGATTCATGATGAACAATGAAATGTAATCGATTGAAATTGAAATTTCATGATTTGATGAAGCACCTAATCGAGACAAATGAGAAACTGAGTTAACGATACATGTGCAAAGAAAACGTTACCATGGGAATGCTACGAAAAGACAGAAAACCGTATTAAGGATAATTGATCAATATATTGGCAATGTTACTATTATTTACACTTACCTAGAGAAAATGCAAGAACTGTGCGCTCTTTTCCATTCAGCTGACCGTCTTCGCCGATGAATCTTTCTGGGTTAAAGGTATGGGGATCGGTAAACAAGGTCTCGTCAAATAAAGCGGAATCGAGGTTCGGAACTACCAAATCTTCCTTACGTATTTTGTATCCTTTGAACTCTGTGTCGTGTTTGACTCCATGTAACAGGGACAACGGAACTAAATTTCCCATACGCAATGTCTCATGAATAAATGCGTCAGTGTACGTCATTTTTGGTTTATCGGTCATAGACGGAAGTCGTGAGGATCCTATAACATTGTTAATCTCATCCCGTAGTTTTGTCTGCACGCATGCGTGGTGAAGGAGAAACAAAATCGCCCATTTGATGGTTGTAGCTGTAGTTTCAGTTCCAGCAATGAACAAATTCACCAATACAATTACCAAATTTTCATCTGAAAACGACCAAAGGTATGTTAATTAATTTAAGGCAATTTACAATCACATGCTTAAAAAAAGAAATACCGACATGGCAACATAATCATAACCGAAACTCATGTTCTATAAAACGTCGACGACACTCACCATGTAAATCCAAACAATTAACGTCATGATCTCAAATTACAACAACAGTACCAACGGGCAAACTATCGAGCACCGAACACGTCCATCTTCAGGAAGAAATAGAATATTTCTAATGGGATATCTACGACGACCGTACCACTTCCCCATAATTTTCATCAACCTGCATCTCTTAAGGCTACTGATATTGAAGAGTCTGTCGTAACCTCGATTTCAAATTATGGTGACCATACACGATGGACATGGCCAAAACATTTCTTGTTAGTTATATACAAGACGTCACAAACATATTTTGAATGATCAAGGTTTAAGAGCCTGGTGTCGTCGATGAACCAGATGACGCTTACCTTTCCTGAATACCTGGTTTCCGTGTTAATTTTTCTTTTGTGCATATTTTGCCCTAGTTTTATTATTTAATTTGAGTTTGGGTTATGAATATATTGACTATTTCAAGAGTCTACGGGTAAATCTTTCTTTGTTCATATTTTGTCATGGTTTATGGAGTTTGAGTTTGAATTATGATTATGTTGTCATGTTGGTATTTTCCTATACGTATGCCAATGGTCTATGGGATGACAAAGATGTCGTCAACTAGACGTGTTTTGTACGAAATAGAAATAACAGTGAATAATGAAGAATTCGCAATAAGACAAAAGTATAAAAGTTTTTCATACAAATTTAGAATCTGATACAGTATAGAAAGTGTACAGTTACACCATACCATGCAAATGTGTTCGTCCCTCTCAGACACGTTAGAGATGCTAGGGGTACATGGTGTACTAAGAAAGATATAATAGATGGTGTGATATTTAGCCTGTGTTTACCATATACAAACGTTCTAACAATCATTAATGTATAGTTGCTGGAGATCTTACCTTCTAAATACTCATTTTTGCCTCTTTTGATTTCTTCTTCTATGAATGCGTCGATGAGATCTCTGATGTTACCACTTTGAAAAGTAGCTCGATGTCTGTCAATCTGCTGTTGCAGGGTCCTTCTTAGATTATCAAAATTTCTACCTATCTCTTCTATATGAGTCACATCGCCAGGGAGATATCTATATAAAAACAAAAAATCACACAGATATCAACCTTTGGTAGAAATTATCTGAATGAATTTAGAAAAGAAAACGTACTTTTTGTTCGATCCACTACATGTACAATATTCCAAGCGACTTCCTCGAAAACTATTCTCCTGTTTCCTCTAGTTAGATATTTGAAAGTGACACAGGATCATGTAAACACTGCTGAAAGAATATGCAAGTGTTGACAGCGGGAAGGTCTTGGGTTTGAGTAATTGTCAGCTGCAATTGAATATTCCTCATCTGTTACCTTGGTTATTGTGGCGCCAATTACGAATCCTTATCGCTAATAGTAAGTTAACTTTATCAAGAGGAATATCAGAACCTTCGTTGACAACAATTTCTACTTTTAAATGTAGATAATTATAAAAGAAAGGGACCTTGACTACGTTAAAAATAACGATGGTTATATAGATTTTATCAATCGAATTTCTTCATAAAGAAATGAATGGAACAAGAACTGAAAAAATCATTACTCTTAGATAGGCAACAATGAGTAAAAATAAACGTGTAAGAAATTTATTAGCTATTTACATTAAAGTAGAAATAGGGACATCCCTGAATTAAAGGGTAAGTAGTGTGTTTTTGTGCTATGTGTGTTCCATACCGCATCATTCCAGAAGGAAAATTTCTCCCGCGTATGAAATTCCGAAAAGAAATGGAATTGTCTTGTTGTATCTGTCTATTTCTTTGATTATTAATCATAAAATGTTTATATCAGTTTTGTATGTACCGTTATATATCTCATGGTTTTAGTTCGTTAGAATAGTGGCTCGGTTGGTTCAGAATATACATATATATTTGACGGTTGTTTTTGAAGTTATAAACATCAGCAATATTATGAAAATTATGGTATTGAATTATGTGAATTAGTGCACTTTCAAAGCCAGATTTTAACATTTTGATCAATTACTCATTAGCTTGTTTTAAAGTAGTATTCCTCCGCATCATTGAATAGAAGGAGACGAAGCACTACATGTCACTTTTTAATTATTATTTGACTCTATTGTATCAAATTCTTATCGAAAGATGATATCTACTTGTGTCTTTTGTGCGATCCAACTCAACAGGGAAAGAAGTAATCACTTTGTCTATACGACCATAGAGCAAATGTTGTGTACAAAACATCTCAAAATCCTGCTAATTAGATATTCATGGCATATTATCACATCATCAAGCTTTACAGCTTTTGATGGTCATAGGTAAAAGAGTCATGTGTCACATCTTACATTTTCTGCAATTAAAACATGCCGTATACCCCATTATCCTCTCAGACCACGAAGTTTCACTGCAACAAGTTCTATAGCATTTTGGTGGTTTTTCGTGGAAGAGTGAAAAATAACATTTTACCGATATTGAAATGAAAATATACGAGGCCGATGAATTTACCTCCTACCTCCATTCGTTTCATAAGAACTTAATACTTAATTATTCTTTTCTTGTCTGATCACTTATATCTTCGCAATATCTAAATAAAGGGTGGTCGGGTGGCGCAGTGTTAACGCACTCGCCTTTCACCTAGCCGACCGGGGTTCGATTCCCGGAACGGACGTGAAAAGGTAAGGGGTCACCTGCCCGACCGCGTGGGTTTTCCCCGGGTACTCCGGTTTCCTCCCACAATACGGCCCCTCGCGCACTTACATCCGGGCCAACAAGAGTGATTAGTATAAGTTTAAATAACTTGTTTCGCAATTGTTGTAAAACAAATAAAGTTTATATATATATCTAAATTCCATAAGGATGACAATGTCAGTAAATGAGACAACTAAACGTAAAACAGCTGTATGTATTTAGTCTTACTAAAAATGGAACAACATACTTTAACCTGACTCGCCTGATGTATGCATTAGTGATAATATTTCAAACAGGTGTATTTATTATGCGCTATCATACCCTCCTTTAAATAATATCATGGAAGGCCAAAGCGGGCAAATAGGCTTTAAAATTCCATCATTACCTTACATGATTAGCTCAAAAGCTTTTTTAGTGTGCTATCTTTCTGTAATGTCGCAACATATTGACAAGAAAGCATCACACTCGATCGGGCCACATTATCTTATGACTTGCCAAATAAAAAATGTTTTTCGATATTGTGTCAGTTAGTGTTGTCAGTCTGTTTTTAAGTAGTGAAGACATATTCCATGTTCTCCCTATTAAAAAGGATTGTGCGATGGACACACCACATGTGGCCACTTTTTTCAGAAACCTCCTTTAATTCAAATTTGCAAAACTGCTTGTATTTGACATTCCTGAACAATGTGAATGCCAACTTGAAAGAACAAGCATATTAACGCGTCATTTTGAAATTTACTTTATCCAGTTGGCATTCATACTGATCAGGAATGCCATATCAAAGCTGTTCAAAACTTACAGTGTAAAATCATACGTTTTCGTGGTTTTCTAAAAACATAGCTTTTCGTTAGTCATTGATTTTCATGGAATAAAATTAATCTCAAAATTTATTCGTAGTTTAATACATATCATCTTTTATCTGTTAGTCATTTCCTCGACATTGAATTCGTGGATTTGGAGTACCAACGAATTCAACCAAAATATTAATAATTTTACAGTATTTGCCATTTTCAACATTCATTTTTTAGAGTTCTAAGGAGGAGCACCATCACTCTCAATATTCCTATCTCTTTGGAAGAACTTTAACCGGTATCACAAAACTCACTTTGGTATTGCTATTGGTAGAAATATAAAAAAAAAAATACAGACACAAAGCGAAAAAAAAACCACAAAACCTAAAATCAACATAAATCAACATGTTTCAAGCCGTTACCTGAGCACCGGAAAGAAATTTGTAATGGCAGTTTTGGTAAGCAACTTTACATGGTCGTCAATCATCAACATCAGTTCCTTGAATGTCTTGTCTTCATGTGCATATCTTTCACCAAACGAAATGCTGCAAATAATGTTAGATACGCTGATCTGTGCGATTGTTCCCAGAGAAAAAGCATCTCCACACTGTGGTTACATTATGACAATGATTTGCTACGAATAATTATATCATAACTTGATAACGAGTAATAGCATTGCGTTGATATTAAACAAGATAGTAGAGGAAGACAACACAACTATGAAATTGACCTAAGTGATACGTGCTCTCGTGGATGAATGTCGCTCATGACTAAACCTTCAGTTTAATTCAAAATGTTTATCACTTAGAGAAATGAATGTATGCATGAAATCAACGAAACTTAACCCCTACAAAAATGAAAGATTTCATTCATAAGAGTGAACTTTCTAAAGACTTAGATACACAGGATGGAAATTGGTTCATTAACATTTTGCAGCATTTTCCTTGCTTTTGACTAAGTCGTTTTACCTTGAATATATTAAATACATATAGGCCGCTCAGTCCAAATGAAATAAGATCTCGGCGTGTAGCATATATACTCTAACACACTGTAAGCTGACTAGTACATACCTTTACCATTGCCGGACCGTTTAGTTAGGGAATCCTCCACTGGTCGGTCAGAGAAGACATCAGCTCGTTTCACAAACGCTTCCTTCAAGGTCTCGTAGCCATTGATTACCACCATTCGTCTGCTACCTAACTGTAGACTGAATACGTCACCGTAACTCTGTCGTAACTGTTCAAATAATTTTGTTTTGCTTCCAGACAAAAAGAGTGGGAAATTTCCCACTAGTGGATATCCACGAGGTCCCGGAGGACCGTTGTTTGGAACATACACAAGCTTCAGAAGAAACAATAAGCCTAATATAACAAAGGCTAACGTGAAGAGATCGAAATTAAATAGAGCATCCAACATCTTGGACTAGTGATGTTCAGTGAGTGTACCCCACATACATGCCGACATATATGATGTCATTCAGACAAGATACGATTTAACCTTGACCTAAAAACACATACCCTCCTGGTATATAGAGAATATATAATAGTATCTTTAGTATTGATATGTGTGTCAAATATTTTGTATCGAGTGAAAGATACAAAATAAATATTAGACACGCAAGTGAAATGATTTTTGTTATAACTGAAGACTGGTATTTTTTCACAAGCAAAATAGCCAAATTACTGGCATGTTTTGAACAAATATTAAACGAGGAAGCTGACTAGGCTTTTCGCGAACACTTACTTATCTATTATAAGCGACAAAATATAGTCCGTTTCTTAAAAAGTCATTTAAAGTTTGTAAATACAAAAATAAGATCTAAATATAGATTTATTTTCATCACATAGAAAATGGTACTTATTAATGCCGCTAAGAGACCAAATTTGCTGGAAATCGTTCAAAGAGAATTTAACATGTGATTGTTTTAACTGAACGTGACATTCTGCAGCTATGAATGTTTTAGTCAGCTTTTAGCATTATTCTTTAATTTTGTATTTTACTGCGATTGCGCATCTCACTTACTTCCAAATGCAAAACTGATTTAAACCAGTTAAACATTACGACAGCAATGAATTCTCTGTTGGTGACCATGGTAATGCATTTACTACAACGCTATGCTATTTCAAATTAATGTTGTGTCTAATTTCATACAACTAATATGGATATTTTCCCACGAATGAAACATATCCACAGTTTTTTTTAATCTTCGCTGGCCATTCACAAGTCGTAGCTATATTTTTTGCGAGAGTTTGATTTTCAAGACTTTGAGACATAAATCTAGTCATAGTTTTACTGTTTAACAACAATGAAAATACACAGTATTTGGTTTTCATGAAAGGTCTTCTGTATTGAACTTCAGAGTATTCCAAACTTGAATTCAAGATGTAGCATGCCTTCCCAAATTTTCTACGAAGCTGGTATTTATCTACTTTAGCAGGTCGTCATTTTTTCATATCTGATATATCCAAGTCAGTGGTTAGCATGCAAGTAAATGACTCGATCTTTATAGCAAAATGTAATCCTATTTAGGGTTCTGTATCTCCTTGCAATATCAACACTTGGACTTACAAAACAACATGAGAACGTTTTCCTGCATTTCATTCATTTTAGCTTTTCTCGTCCTTTTTTCAGTTATCCAATGTGTTCATCCTGCCTGGAACCGTCCTGGCCACGGATGAGCATTCTTATTCTTTGGTAATTAAAAAAAATACTTCACAATGGAAACAAACTTGTAAAAGTGTTATATCACTGTGACAAGTGAGCTGCTTGGTACCATCCGCATGGCCAAATTTATTAGAAATTCTAACTGGATAGCCTGAACGTGTGTATTTTATATTTCTCCGTCATATATATAATAATATGGAGGAAACCCTATCTCATCACAATGCTATGTTGATTATATTTTAGACACTCTATAATAGGTACATTCTATTATACTATTCCAGTATTCCATACTGATGGAGTTTGAACAAGAGACCCTTATGCCAGACTTTGTCAAATGCCTTGGACAAATCGCAAAATACAACACAAGAATATTCATTATTATCCAAAGAGCTAACAATACTGTGATACATTTCTATCAACTGATAGACTGTGGAGTGGCCAGGAAGGAAACCAGATTGATACTTGTAAAAAATATTGTCTCTAGCAAAGTTAAAAATATATTTAAAGACACATCTTTCCATAGTTTTTGACAAGCAACTTAGCAAAGAAATAGGCCTATAATTTGAAGGAGCATGAGCATCTCCTTTTTTAAATACTGGTAAAACGTGTGTTTTTTTCCATTCCGAAGGGAAAACAGCATCCCTTTGAGACCTATTAAATAATAATGTAAGAGGTTGTGAAATAGTTCTGGCTGTAGCTTTTAGCATACGGGACTAATCCTGTCTGGAACAACAGCTTTCCCTATGTCAAGAGTAGATGAAATATCATAAACATCTTTTTCTTCGATCATAAAACTAGAAAGTGAATTACTGCATTTTCTGACGAAGTTTGGCAGATTTGTATTAGAATCATCAGTACTGGAGACAGAAGTGAAGTAATTATTGAGGATTTCAACCTTTTCCTGGTCACAAACTGCCATTTTGGTAATACCATTAACATTGTATTCAAGAGGAGGTATAAAGCGAGGAGAGGAGGAGAAAAAGCTGTTAAGAATTTGCCAAAAGGCACGGGGATTTTCAGTTTTTGCCGTAGAGACACGTGATTCCAAATTACAGAAGAAATCGGCCTTGGCCTTCTTTTTCACATTATTTACTCTGTTTCTCATACCCCTGTATGAAGACCAGTCTTCTTGGCGTTTAGAACGTAATGCCATTTGTTCGAGTCTGTCCCTTATACGACAGTGTTTACATAAAACCGAATCGAACCAGGGTTTGTCGGAGGGACGGATAGTAACTGTAGAATTTGGTATAAAGATTCTCGCCAGATCTAAAAATTGCCTAGTGAAGTTGGAAACAGCATTAGAAATTAAATCGTGCCAATCTACTGATGATAACGAACCATTAAGCCCAATGTAGTCTGCCCTATTATAATTCCACACAAATCTCTCGTAAGATGTTTTACAATTATAAGAAAATGATAAATTTATAAAAGTCGCTTTATGATCACTAACAGTATTGTCTACACTGAATGTCCCACTATCGAGACATTTAATATCCGAAGAAATAAATATAGGATCTAAAAGTGTAGCTGTGTCAGTGGTTACACGAGTAGGCTCGGTAATAACGTTTAAGAGGTGATAGTTGGTTACTAATGTATCTAACTTATTATTTCTGTGTAACAAATCAACATTAAAATCGCCAAGGATAACTATATCAGAACAATAATCAGAGAGAGTCTCAATGCACCACTCGAAATTTTGATAGTGTTTCTGGAGTTTGGTGGTCTATAAAATAATCCAACCATGATACGTCTATTGTGGCACATAACTTCCGCCCAGATGCATTCTAGATTTGCCGGTGTAAACTCGAGTTTACGACAAAATTTAATAGAATCTGAAAAATATATAAGAACACCTCCACCAAAAGCATTTCTATCTTTACGTATAAAAGTGGAATAGTCAGGAATAGAAAGAGAATCACTTACGACTGAATCGTCTATATGTGTCTCCGAAAAGTACAAAATGTCAAAATCACTGATAAAAGAATCGAGAAAAGAAAATTTATGTCTAATGCTTCTAGTATTTAAGTGGAGTAAACTCAAGTCAAAGTTGCCATGATTGTCAGGACCAGGGTTTGTTTCAACATCTCCACTTAGAATTAAGATAATATATAGAGAGGGAAAGTCAGCACTATAAAAACCGGATATACATATATCTAGACAATGATAAACATGTTGGAAAATCCATATGGAATATATCTTAGTCATGTCTTTAAGTAATGTTAAAAGAAATAAAAGTAAATATGCTGGGTTCCAAGATATTTTACATGAGGACGAGTAGATACTACCGTTAAACCTTCCGATTGACGCCCTATAATCCTCTAAGGAATTACCCATTATCTAATATACAAACATAGGTAAGTATAACATACAAGTAGAGGACATCAATCGGAATACAGTCGACTCTGAATAAAAAGAATGGTAGAGAAAGAATGTAAAAGGTAGGCAGAAAGAATAGGGTAAACATGAAAGAGTAGGGTGGATAAACGATAGACTGAAAGAGAGAAACTAGAAAAAATATGTGTCTATAACAAAAAACATTCATCGTTGACATATCACTAATGAGAAAGGGGTAAGTAAAAAGTCAAATTATTTCCAGGAAATACCATCAAACATATAAACATATAAGCGATAAACCAAAATAACCAGTACGCGCACATACTCCCATACACATCTACTAGTTGTTTAAAAAAAATCTGTCAAGTGCGCACACAGAACCTATGCACATTTATCCCTGCAACTTGCACACATATCCGTACGAAAAACATCAAACATACATATACTGCATTCTCCATACACACCATATAGCGCACATACTACCTATGGACATATGAGTAAACAAGAATAAAGATATTTTTACAATTAAACCTTAGACAGTGAGGGGTCCATGTATATAGGCTGACAAGACAAAATTTTGGATAAAGAATGGACAGCAAGGGAGGAAAATGTATGAAGCATATACATTGCAGCATAGCATAGTTAGACATCTTAAAAAGTAGAGAAGAAGATATAATATCAAAGACAAGTAATAGTCGTGACATGTACAAATATATGTAGGGGGAAAATAACACGTGTTGTCAAAATAAACAGAAAGTAGATTGATAAATACATGTAAGTATCAATATGTGTTGGAACTAAAAAAAAAAAAATAGTGCATATTAATACGTCAGATTAGCGAAAATCATACAATACTTAATATTAAATCCATATAATTTTGTTACATACTTGGCATTGTACAACAGGGTAGTCGAAAGGCAACAATGTACGGATAAATACATGAAAAAAATCATGATTATACATTGACTCCGAAAATAACGTAGTACCATCATTTCTGCAGGTAAAAACTTAAAAAATACACACAGAAAAAAAAAACAAAAAAAAAACCCCATTTCTTTATCAGTCAAATAGAAACACTGGGTTAAAACAGCACAGGTAAGTGTGCTATACAATCGGAAGCTTCAGATAAGTTAGAAGTAATATGCACGAACTATGGAAGAATCGGACTGGGGTCTTGCCCTTTAATCTGTTACACGAGTGAAGCTAACACGTGATCTTAAAACATTCGTTTGTTAATGCAAAATAAAACAGTAAAGAATATGTTCACATTGTAAAACTTTTTTTATCATATTTTGAGTTTTAATTGAGGTTTTGTTGACATGTCGGTATTTTGTACTTGTTTTTAAACAAAAATAAATTATATCAGTGCGGGAAAGCCGTTTTTGTGTTATATTCGTTGTTATCAGTCGAAAGTTTCT